CCTTTGTTGGCCACCCCCAGGGCTTTTGGTTCATGGAGAGCCCAGGTGACTCCTGCACAGACAACTGTCTAGTCTAGTCTGCTCTGACACCCAGAAGGTCCTGTTGGAGGCTGGCTCACAGTTGGGACTGATCTGTATCCCCCCCCCACACACACACACATATACACACACATACATACACACACGTGCCTGGTAGCAGAGCAGCCCCGTCCACCCCAGGCCAGGGCCATCATGAGTTCAGGCAGCCCCTGTGGCCATCCCCAGAGAGCACCTGCTCCCATGGGGACTGTGCTGTCTGGAGCACAGACTGTCCTCCCCCCCCACTTCCCACTGGAGTCTGGGGGCACTATGCAGACTGTGGTCCTGGTGGCCTGCATCCATGTTCAGTTGTCTACACTGGCCAGAGTCAGGCCCAGGGGCTACTGGGGGCAATGTCCCCAGGCAGCAGAGCCCTGGGGCAGCATCCTGAACTCTGGCCTTGAGGACAAGTGGGAGTGTCAGAGGCCCTGCTCAGAGTCAATCTGACCCCGGGCCTGCCCTGGTGGCTCCCAGTGTCCCTGGAAGTGTCCCTGATCCTGCCTGCCAGCACTGGGATGCTTCCTGTCCCAGCCTCGCAGGCAGTCAGCTGGGGTCCTGGGATTTTCCACCCTGTCCCCATGGCCGTTGAATCACACGCCTCTGTGCTGGTGACCACACTGCTGGCCTGAGCTGGCTCTGGGCGGGGTGATCCTGGAGGATCTGCCGCCAGGATAGGTGGCAAGTAGGCACCCCTCCAAGCAGGGACAAGGGGTGTGAGTGTCATGGCAAGCCGCCAACTCCAAGGGGCCCCAGGCACAAGGGTTGCTGGGCGTGCTCTGCTCTGAGCCCCACATGCCTGAGGCAGCCCCGCCTGAGCTTGCCTTTGCTGGGGACCTAGGTTGCAGGGGGAACCCCCACCACTGGGCTGGTCCTGGGGACAGAGCAGGGTCCCCCACCTGCTGGGGGTCTGACACACACTGTGGATGTGGGCACGGCCAGAGCCAGGCGCATCCCATCCCACACACATCTCAGCTGTGTGGCCCCCCTTGCTGCGCCCCAGCTCAAGTTCCCCAGTGTGGCCTCAGCCCCACTCCCAGCTGCCGAGCTCCCAGTGTACCTGCAGGCCGCCCCCTCCTGGGACAGGCTGCTCCATGCTCCAGCAGCTCCAGCCGGTCCCTGTGTGATGTGCCACTGACTGGGCCTCCTATTTGTACGCTGCTGGGCGTGGGGCCAGGTGGCGGGAGCGGGCGGGCAGGGGCCACACCTGCGGTAGGCCTGAAGGGAAGGCCTCAGGGGCAGGGATGGCACCCTCCCCAGCAGGGGTGAGGGTTGTGTGGGTTCCTGAGGGGAGGGCAGAGACCCCAGCAGCTGGAGGGGGCAATCCTCAGCACTCCCAGGGACAGAGCCTGCCTGCTTGCTGCCCTCCCGCCAGGGCAGGATGCTGCCTGCTCTCCCTGCTCTCGACTCTGACCGCAGGTGTTTGTGGCCATGACAGTGGGCAGGTTCGCCCTTCCCAGCACCCAGGTGTTCTGGGGAGAGGTACTAACTGTGGGAACGGCAGCTGCCTGGGTGTGAGGCAGTCCTGTCCTGTGGCACTTGCAAGGCCTCCTCGATGGACATAAAGGCCACTAGCTGAGTGCACACAGCACACACTAGGACCACATAACTCCCATGAGGAACATTTGACTCCACACTAGGACCCATGGGAGGACCATACCCCATCCATGTACACACACATGTACACACATATGGCCATGTGCACATACACACCTCACATGCACAAACAACCCCTATGTACACACATACATCCATATGCACACATCCCATATGTGCGCACAACACACCACATAATACACATACATCCATGCACGCACACACACACACAAACACCCACGTGCACACATACACCTTGTGCACACCCACACCACATGCACGTATGCACACCCATATACACACAAACCATGTACACATACCACATGCACACACACCCCACGTATACACGTATGCCCTTGCACACACACCACATGCACACACATATGCACATCCCCACACGTACACAATGCACCCAACACACTACACACACATGCACATACCTCACACGTATACACATACACCCACATGCGCACACACATACACCCATGTATACATATATACCCATGTGTGCACAGACACCACGCATGCACATATGTACACGCATACAGCCACACACATCATATGTGCTCACACACCTATGTACACACATATATCCATGCACACACACAAACCACATGCACACACACTCATGTACACGAAGCACCCACACACACACTACAGGCACTCTCACATGCACACCCCAAACATACATACACCCAAGTGCACTATACCATGTGTGTGCAAACATATAACTGCACATGCACACACATACACATGTACACACATATCACATATGCGCATGTGCAAACATACCACAGGCACATGCACACACACCCACATACATATATACATCATGCACGCACACCTCATATTCCCACACCTACACACATATACCACACACGTGCACCCCACATGCACACACATGCACACATGCATGTGCATACATGAACACACATACATCCATGTGTGCACGTGCCCAAACACTCCCCATGCACACACATGTACACACATGTGCACACACATATACCACACATGCACACACACATAACCCCCCACTCCTCCTCACTCACACAGTTACATACAACCATGCGTACCCCTCATACACCCCAAGCACACAAGCACACATACACCCACACAGGCACCTCCACCCCACCCCTACATACACAGGGCACAAACAAAGGTATGCTTGTGCACACCACACACTGTTTTAGGGTCCAGTCCCCGGTCTGGGGTGGCAATCCTTGGTTGAAGCATGGCCAGCCCAGCCCCCATGCCAAGGGGAGCCCATGTGTGGCCATCCCAAGGGTCAGGTCTGCGGCTGGGCTATGCCCCACTGCCCCAATTCCCCCGGGGCACTAGGAGCTGAGGACCTCCCCACCCACTGGCCCAGCTATGAGGGTGGAGTCCCATACCATCACTCCAGAGTACACGTCAGGGCTAGTCAATTGGAGGAAGGAGCCGCCCAGGTGTGGGACAGTCCCAGCTCTGCCCCCAGCTGTATGACCTTGCCTGAATTACTCAGTCTCTCTGAGCCTGTTTTCCTCAAGTGTAAAATGGGGCTACAGAGCCTTTTTCTGCCTGAGGCACAGAGCAGGGGGCAGAGATATCTTTGGTATGGTTCGGTTTATTCCCCACCTTGGGGCCAGCATCAGAGCCACAGACTGAGCACAGGCCTGGACATCCTGACCGTCTGGCCACTCCATGTTTCGAAGGATACTGTCCATGGCAGGGCACATGTGGCCCTGGGGCTCCTGCTGGGCAATAAGGGCCCCACAGTCAAATGGTGCATAGATGGGCCTGGGCTGCCATCCTGAGCTAGATGTGGGCGACTAGACCTTTGGGGTCTTTGCTGGGGGCAGTCAGGGACTTGGTACATCCTGTTTGCCACTACAAGTCTCATCAGGCAGAGAGGACAATGCAAGTCTGCAAGGTCAGGGCTGGTCAGATGTCCACTGGAGCAACAGAACTGGCTGGCAAATACCTTGTTCCTGGTCCCTTCCAGGACATAAGCCAGGTCCCTGGTGCTCCTAGTCATGGGACGAGTCTTCAGGATCTGCTAAGTGAACAGCGCAGGCAGTGGGCAGCAGGGTGAGGGATGGGTCAGAGAGATAGTTGAGTGGAGAAGATGCTAGCCTGTTCTCAACCAGTTCATTTCTGTCACTGTACAGGGTCCTCAAAACTCCATTGGGATTGAGCCCTGAGCATTGCAAGATATAGCCCCAAAACCAGAGCAAGCAGAGGGAGGCGAATCCTCTCTCCAGCACTGGGCAGCCAGCCAGGTGCTGGACACTGGACAGTGCAGGGTGCTCTGGGAGCTTGGGGCACAAGTTCCCCCACTCCAGGACCTGCCTACCTCTCCTGGCCTGACCAGAGGACACAGGTCCTGCAGCCGGTGTGCACGGTGGCTTGGGCCCTGCTGGCCAGCAGGAGTGTGGGCAGGCCTTCCAAGACCTCTATTGGATTTGAGGCCCCACATGGCTGCCATGGAAGTGGGCAATGATCGGAGGCAGGTGTGTATGTGTGAGCACACCTGGTGGTAACTGCCTTCCAGTCACAATTTCCTACTCAGCTCTGGGACACAGCTGCCAAGGCCATGGGGCCACAGGGTGGAAGCCTCTGTAAGTCCATGACACCTAGAGTCTCCTGGCAGGCCCACCACAGCGCCAGGACACGCCCAACTACGCAGTTCCCGCCCTCCACCGGGCTGTGACCCCATGCTGTCTGGTAGCGCTGCCTGCTCCATTGCTTCTTCCCTTCCCAGCATCAAGTGTGAACAGCCCGGTGGGGCCTCTGGGGAGTGGTGGGCTGCAGCTCCAAGTACCCCTGGAAGAGGCCCTGTCCAGGAGGGGTGATCAGTGCAGTCCCTAGCCTCCTGCCCGGGGCCAAGGAGGGACCTGATGAATAATGAATAATGGCCCTATTCAATGTGGAAATCGTGTAGCTATTTTTATGAGCCGGCTGCGCTCGCAGCTCCAGCTCGGAGCAGGGCGGCCCCGGGGACTCCAGACTCGGCCCCACCTGTCTGGCCGCTCCGGCTGCAGCAACGGGCCGGGGTAGCTCCACGTGACAGGAGCGCGAGAACTGGACGCCTGAGCCGGGCCGGATCAGTCCTTCGGGGGGCGGGCAACTGGGTCCAGAGAACTCAAGGGGTGCCTCTCCCGGGCGCAGTGGACCCAGTGGCCCCGGTCCTAGGAAGCAACAGGTGGCCTCTGAGCCGCCCCACTTCCATCCGGCGGTGAAGGAGCCAGTGCGCTCGCGCCAACAGGTGCCATCGAGAGGCGGACGAAGGCCTCCCGGTGCCCTAGAACGGCCGGCCTCAGGGGCCCTCGCACCGGAAACGGAAGCGAGCATTCGCCCGGTGCCGCGGGCGGCCATCTTGGCGGCTGAGGCGGCGGCGGCGGCGGCGGCGGCGGTCCCGGTCCCCGTCCCGGCCTGCGCGGTGCGGTCTCCGGCGCGGGCCCCGCTCCTCGCTCCCTGCTCCGGCCTCCACCACGGCGAGCCCGAGCGCGGCGGCGGGGAGAGGTGAGCGCGCGCCGCGGCGGGGCGGCCGGCCAGTCGGCGAGGGCCCGGCGGGCCCCGGGACAGTTGGCGGAAGTGGGCGCGGGCGCCGGGCGCCGGGCGCCGGGCGCGGGCCATGACCCTGGTCCGCGCGGCCGCCCGGGGCAGGGGCCGGCCGGTTCCGGTGCCGGCACTGTGGGGCACTGGGCCCGCCGGGGACGCCTCTCCCCGCGCCTCCCACCCGGCGCGCTGTGGCGCGAGGCCCGGCCCGGCGTCCCTGAGCCTCGTGCGGGACCGGTGCCCTCTGCCGACCCCGGCGGAGGGCCAGGAGAGACGGGTTTCCTCCAGGGGTTCTGGCTTGGTCTGGGGCCATACCCGGCCCCGCTCTGGGCTGACTCCGACCCTGCGCTCAGCAATCACTCCGGGGTGCTCAGGGGACCTCTGGGTCTCGGAGTCGAACCCGGCCTGCGCCGTGCGAAGCAGACTCCCTACACCTGCTGAACTTTCCCGTGGGGCCCAAGGCTTCCTTTGGGGATGGGGGGCTCCTCTGTCCTGAAGGCCTGCGCTTTACCACTGAGCCACTGGGGGCTGGGGGGCTGTCCCTTGATCTTGTTCCTGCTACCCATGCCCGATCCAGCCTTAATGGGCATGTAAGTGGACATAGGGGTGCTGGTTTGGGATTATTTTGATTCCCTGGGTATAAACTGTGGGACCCCAAACAGCTGGGGAGTTGTAGGCTCACCCCAGAGCAGGCCAGATGCTTACACCCTTTATCCAGGACACTCTTACAAATTTGATTGTTTGTGGACAGCTCCGAGGTGTCAGGATATTTCAGATCTCTGAGTTAGGGTAGAACTGAAGGGAGAGCCCCCTCCTCCCCTGTGGGTGTCTCTGGGCCAGTCAGGGCAGCCCACAGCTTCGATTCCGGGCTTGTGGCAACACACTTGGAGCAGGCTGGGCTGAAGGGCTGTGGTGGTCTGTCTCCCGTCCCTTCTGATGGTGGCGTTTGTCTCCACAGATGAGCAGCAACAGCAGTAAGAGAGCCCCCACCACAGCAACGCAGAGGCTGAAGCAGGACTATCTTCGGATTAAGAAAGACCCGGTGCCTTACATCTGTGCCGAGCCCCTCCCTTCCAACATCCTTGAGTGGTAATGATGTCGTTGGGCCCCACGGGTGGCTCATGTGAAGTGGGGAGGAGAAGACGGTCACTTTCTCCCGATCCGCCTCTGCCACTCAGGACCCAGGGTTCTTGGGTTCTTTTTATTTTGTTTTATATTTTTGATTTTTGGGTCACATCCAGTGATGCATAGGGGTTACCCCTGGGTCATGCACTCAGGAATTACTCCTGGTGTTGCTTGGGAGACCATATGGGGTGCTGGGAATCGAACCCGGGTCGGCCGCGTGCAAGGCAAACGCCCTACCCGCAAGTGCTATCACTCCAGCTCCTGGTTCTTGGGTTCTTGTCTTGCTCACAGAAAGGAATTTCAGGAGTAGACAAGCAGTGAAGTAAATAGGTTTTATTTGGAGGGGTTTTGAAGGTTTGGAGAGCGAGAAAGAGACAGGGAGAGAGAGAGTAATGCGCTCAAGAGAGAACGCTGGCTGCTCCAAGGGTGGAGAGAGCCCCTATACACATTCCAGCATTAGACACGAAAGCATCTCCAGAGGGGAGATGGTGGACATGTGCTTGGCCACGTGGGCACAAGCAGCACATGGGCTGGGGCAGCATATGCACGCCCTTCCATTGTTCAATGTGTCTTTTATAGGCTCTTCTCAGGTTGTCTTGATCTGGAAGGTCTGGATCACATTTTAATCAGATTAAGGGAGAGGTTCCAGGGTTTGAGGAACTTCATGGGGAGGGATCCAACCTCCTCAGAGTCTGCTGAAGGTCTATCAGATCTGTTTCCTCTATCCACAGGGTCTATCAGTCTTAGGATTTTCCTCCCAGAAGTTCTGTAGATCTAAGTTTCTTGCTGAGGGCCTTTCCCTGTCTACCTGCCTATATCAGTAAGACTGTCGCAGTCTCTGGGCTCTGAGCTCACGCAGCGTTGGGTGTGGGGAGAGCTGCTTCTGCAGTTCTCTGGGCACAGAGACACAGGCCCACCAACACCTCTCATCTCTGGGACGGTTGTTACTGTGTGTGGGCCCTTTGGCAGTTTCAACTGTCAGAGAGAAACTGTCACCCTAGATTTGTCTCTCCCCGGGCCTTGCGTGAGGACCCTGGCAGGTGCCTGCTGGCCCTTGCTGAGGGAGTCTGTGTGCTGTGAGCAGAAGCTGCTCATCTGCTCTGTGGTTTGGTTTGGGGGCACATGTGACACTGTGCTGCTCAGGGTGCCAGGGACTGACCTTGGGTTGGCTGCCCACGCACTGTCCTCCCTGCCCTTGCCCCATCTGCGCTTCTCTGTATTGATAACTTAATGTGTGGAGTTACATCGTCTTCTGTGTAGATTACCTTTGGTGGCTTGTTGGGGATCTTGTGAAAGATAAAAATATGGACTGAGATGTTAGCTAGTATTTTCTTTCATGAAAGATATTTTACGTTTGTTTTCTGGACGGCTCCTGGTGATGCTTAGTGTCGGGGGTTGTTTTTGGAGGGACTGGGTGCCGTGTGGTATGGGAGTCAGCCCTGGCTTTCTGCAGCTGAGCATACACTCCAGCCTGTGGAGCACCCCTCCTTCCCTAAGTTCTGGGCTCTTCCTGGCTCTGAATTAAAGAGTAACCCAGAACTGTGCAGAGCTAGGAACTTGAACCTGGGCTGGCCACATTCCAGGCAAGTGCTTTGCGTCCTATGCTAATCCCTTGTTCTGTGTTTCAGTCTACCATTTTTAATTTATTCCCTTTAATTCAGAGAAAAGAGAGTGTGTGAGTTACGTTTTCCAGATGAGCAGGAGCTCAGGGGCTCTGGATCGACCATTGTCCCTTTCCAGAAAAGGGCTAGTTCTGTCAGATGCTGGGCAGGGTTTGCGAGTCTCGATCCTCTTCCTGTCCCGAATAAAGAAGGCCAAGTGTGAGCCCCCACCATGCTTAGCAGGGACATTGTCAGTGTGTGGGGACACTTTCCTGGGGTTGGTCATCCACGAGGAGATCCACTGCTGAGATTTAAGTTAGAGGGTCAGCACCCTCAGGAGACCCACACAGCTCCTGGTTCCTGTGGGCCCAGCCCATGTTTTAGAGACCCTCCACCTGGAACTGCTGAGGGTGTGGGCACCAGCCGGGCAGCAGCTCCCCTCTCAGGTGGATGGAGAGACCCCCTTCGTGACTCCTTGAAGTGCCTGCTGAGGTGGCTGCCTTGGGCCTGCTGCACGCACACTACTGCCCTTGCTTACTGTCCCTTTCTTTGTTTTTGGGCCACATGTGGCAGTGCTCAGGGCTACTTCTGGCCCTGCACTCGGGGGGGGGGGGGCGGGCAGCTGTGTAAAAGGCAGGTACCTCCCTCCTGTGCTGTCTCCCCAGTCCTGACCACTGTCCCTTCTTGGGGCTCTCATTGGGTGCAGGACTTGGAAGCATTGACCATGGAGACCACTTCCTGGTCTGCTGCATTTTGTGAGTCAAATTTGTCTACCAGCAGGCAGTTCAGGCCGTAATGATGGGACTGTTGAGGTGCTTTGTGTGTGTGGGTCTGGGGACGGTCATCCTGGAGTGCATTGTGTTTCAGCTGATACTTCCTCCTTCCCACCCTCCCTGGCACACCTGGCTCTCATAAGTGCTTAGGACTTCTGACTGCACTCAGGATCAGGTGGGTTTGGGGGACTGTATGGGGTGCCAGGGATTGAATCCAGGTCTGCTGCGCCCAAGGCAAATCTCCTCCCTACTGAACTATTGTTGTGCCCTGGGGCTGACATTTCTGACGGGCACTTCTTTTCCCTGTCCCTTACACTTCTCTGTTTTGTTTGAAAATCTGTAAAATCCAAACACCTCTGACCTCTTTGCTGGTGAGAGTGCCAGGTATTGTTGGCACTGATGCACCTGGTCTGAGGCATGAAGGCCCTGGGCTGGGGCTCCATGTGGGGCCTCAGTGACAGTCACTGCTCCCACTCTTCCTGCAGAGGCCGAGCCTGGCTCCTCAAGGACATTGGCACCAGTGACTCAGACCTGCATTCTGGGGGCTGGGGCCATGGTACAAGGGGAAAGGTACTTGCCTTTTACACGGCCCACCTGGCACCACATGATCCCTGAGCACAGGGCCGGGTGTGAGTCCTCAGAGCCACGTCGTGTGCTCCCCCTCACCACCACCACCCCCCCCCCACACACACACACTAAAAGTGTACTGGTAGATAGTGGGTCCAGTAGATAGTGCAGTGGTAGGGCTGCGTTTGCTCCATCTGTGGTTCCAAGTGGGGGGAATCCCATCGTCTCCATTGTCACCAGGCACAGGCCTGGAGATCCCCAAGCAGCATCACGTCTTCAGACCTATCCATTGAACTACTGGCCCACCTGGCTCAGAATTTGGGACCCCCAGGTCTCTGGAGCACTGCTGGAGGCACCCTCAAAAAAACATTGTGAATTGAGAAATAGGAGGGGCCCTACTTGCCAGTGCTCAGGGACTATTCCTGGTTCTGTGCTCAGGCGTGACCCCTGATGAAGCTCAGGGGACCAAATGTGCCAGGAATTGAACCAGGGTCAGCTGAAGAAAGCTGCTGTGTGCAAGGCAAGTGCCTCCTATACTCTTTCTCCATCCTGATGTTAAAAAGCATTCTAATTTTTGATGATCAGGGTTAGAGAGGAATCACTTCTTTCATTTTGTGTCATAACTACAAAAGTTACTGTTTCCGTGGGAGATAGAGCTTCTGAAGGCATGTTCTGAAATAGTTCAATATCTTCCCTGTAGCAGCCAGAGGCTTCACTTCTGCCTTTGACCTTCACCTCTTTGCCTGGGACTGGGACAGGACAGGACGGGGCGGGGCAGGACAGGATAGAGCAGCTGATGCTTGGGTTCCTCTGGCCTTCATGCTTGTGGGTTGTTCCCAGCAGTACCTGGAGGTAGGTGCTGGGGTTGCCTCCCAGGGCTCCTGAATGCAAAGGACATGCTCCAGATCTTTGAGCCACACCCCTAGGCCCCCCAGAACCGGGGACCGCTGATGACTGTTCGGTTTCAGCTGGGATCTACACACCTAGCCTTGGCCAGACTGTCTTGGGAAAATTTCTAATACCAAAATGCCAACCATGTCATTCTCTCCCTAGGCACTATGTGGTCCGAGGTCCTGAGCTGACTCCTTATGAAGGTAAGTCTGGGCTCTGAGCCTGAAGAACTAGGGCCTGTGTCTTTGTTTTCAGCAGGCCTGGTGCAGAGACCTAACACTTTGTTTCCAACACATGTTGGTTACACAGGACTTAATGGACACTTGCCCTAGTGTTTCCAAGCCCTAGCGATCAATGCTGGGTTTGGTTTTGCCTTTGGGTCTAAATATTCAGGGCCCTTCCTGAAGTTGTCAGTGTGACCCAGCCTCCAGCTGGAGATGCGTGTTGTGAGTGTGGCTGCATAGATAGGGCCTGTAGCACATTTGGTCTCATTAGGTGTGGAGTTTAGCCAGATTTCAGTGGGCAAGAGTTGGGATGCTAGAGGAGGAAGTCAGAGAACACATCTCCAGCCTCGGAGGTGTGAGCAGCCACGGGCAGGCCTGACCCTCCTGGATGTTTGTCCCTCACACTCTGGTTTGGCCCAGGATGCCCGTGGCAGGGTGGCCTGTCATAGGGAGACAAATCTGGAAGCTGGTTTCTAACAGGAGGTAGCTAGTGGCCTAATGTGATCTGGGGTCCTGGGAGCTTGTGGCTGGATTTCTCTGAGGTGAAAGATGGGCTTCAGTAGAGTTTGTTCAGGCGTATTAGAACAATATAGAAGTTCATAAGAGTTTGACATTAAAGTCTGAAGCCTGGACACCAGTGGCGTCATGCCTGGCTTCGGATATTTGTTTTATTCTCCGTTGTTCCTGGATTTCCCAAGTATGGAGTGCATAGGAGTTTTTTGTTGTTTTGTTTGGAGCCATACCTGATCGGCTTCATACCGTGGGGGTTGCTCCTAGTGGTGCTCAGGAGACAGTGCCATGTCGGGGATCGTTTCTGCATCCCAGACATGACGTTCCGCCCATCGAGTTACCTCTCGGGCCCGAGTGCACATTTAGTCACTTTTTGTAATGAGGGTGCCCCACTGTCCTGGGCCCTGGACAGGAAGAGTGGGGTGGAGAGGACACATGGCATTGGGTGGAGCTGGTCTTCCTCCACCGGGAGTCAGTGCTAGGTCTGGTCTGCCTACCACGGTCATGTGCATCCTCCCATGGAGGGAGGTCCTGCACCCCTGCCCGTGCTGACTGCTCCTCTGGGCCTCCCTGTCACCGCCGAGGGGCGGCTCTTGGTCCTGTGTGGGCCTGGCTGTCTCTTCTTCCTGGGACTGGGCTTTACTGGTGGCCACTCTCCCACCAGTGTCTGGGCTGGGCCTGGACTGACCGTTGACCCTGTTGTTTTCCTGGAACCTCTGACACGCCCTCCAGTCTGGTCATGTGGCTTCTAAGGACTCTGGTCACAGTGTTTCATTTAGTTTGGGAACACACCTAGCAGTGCTCAGAGGCTGCTCCTGGCTCTGTCTGGCAGGGCCATCATGTGTGGCACCTGGAACTCGAGCCTGTGGTCTGCATCTTGGGTTTTTTTGATTGCTTGCTTTTGAGCCACACCTGGCAGTGCTCAGGGCTTACTCTTGACTCTGCACTCAGCGATCACTCCTGGCAAGCTGGCGGGGCCCTGTGGGTGCCGGGGATCAAACCTAGGCCATGTGCAAGGTAAATGTCCTTCCCTCTGTACTATTTCAGCGGCTCCTGTAGTTCTCATCTTAACATTGAACTGGAAAGATGGGGGCCTAGAACAGTGGGCCTGGCCGGAGGGTGAGGGGTGGCCCCTAGTGTTCCCTGGCAGGGAAGTGCTGCAGTGAAGGGAGGCCCAGCCGGTTTCCTGGGGGGTGGGAGTGGGGCTGCTTTTCCTCATGAGGGGCTTGGTATTCTGTCTTACTTGCCAACTGGCCACGTACCCATGCCTGGTACTGTGGGGTCTGGGGGAGGCTGGGTAACCTTCCTTCGACCTCACTACGTGGGGATGTGCCTTGCTAAGCTGGTCAGGGAGCCTACTGCTGCCTTTCCAGTGGGTGAGGAGGGCTTCCTGGGTGGTGAGACTTCGGAGGCTGGAGTTGCCTTTTGGGGGAAGTCAGGAAAGTCTGGAGTCCTTGGTGTTGCCCTTGGATTGGTGGGCTCTAGGGTGCCTGTGCTGGACAGCCAGGGTGGGGTCTTAGGCAGACTTGAGAGGGGCTGTGTGTGTGACATGAGGCATGCAGGGAAGGCAGCTAAGGGCCTGGAGGTCAGGTTTGGTGCCAGGGGACAGCAGTGGGAACAGTTGTAGGCCATGGCGAGAACATTTGAGCTTCATGTTTGCGTTAAGGTGGACGAGGCGATGATAGTGGTTGCCATCTGCTTGGTTTGGTGGAGGAGGGGGGAGGACTGGTGCCAGCATGGGGCCTGCAATGGGGCTTAAGGGCCTACTCTGAGCTGGGGTGCAAGTGGGCAGGGGGTTGGCAGAGGGATTGGGGGGTCTAGATCAGCGATTCTCAACTCAGGGCCATATGACTCCCCTGTGGCCCCCAGGGTATCCCGGGGGCCACAGCACAAGGCTGGGGGCCACAGCCAGGACAGAAGATCAGAATGGGAGTCACAGTGGGACAAGTTGAGAAACGCTACTCTCGACCACCCGTGAGTCACACTGGACAGTGACAGGCTCTTTCTCTGTTTTGATGTAGGTGGCTATTATCATGGAAAACTAATTTTCCCCAGAGAATTTCCTTTTAAACCTCCTAGTATTTATATGATAACTCCCAATGGAAGATTTAAGTGCAACACGAGGTAAGGCCTTTCTGCAGGACCTCTGAGGCTGGCTGGCTCGGGATAGGCAGGCGCTATCACCAGGCCCTCTCTTGCAGGCTGTGTCTTTCTATCACGGATTTCCACCCAGACACATGGAACCCGGCCTGGTCTGTCTCCACCATCCTGACTGGGCTCCTGAGCTTCATGGTGGAAAAGGGGCCAACCCTGGGCAGTATAGAGACCTCGGACTTTACGGTGAGAGACACAGCCTCCATCTCAGGAGCAGGACTCAGGGGCTCTGAAAATAAGGAGTTAGGGGAGCTCCTTAGCGACCCCCGGCAGCGCACAATCCAGTCTGCTCCACGTGCTAACCAGTCTTCACTCTTAGTTCTCAGGGAGGCCACACCTCGCAGTGCTCAGGGTTGACTCCTGATTTTGTGCTCAGGTGATCCTGTGTGGTGCCAGCTGAGTCTAGTGCGAGCACCTTAGCCCTGCCCTGTCTCTCCAACCCCTGCTCCCCCATTCATTAGGAAGTAAGTGAATGTTGCTCAGTGTTGGTCATTTGAAAATAACTGGCTCCGTGGTTCTAGCACTGTGATTCGTGCCCATGAGACTATATTCAGGTTCGAGCCACCCATGGTGCTCTGGCACGGGAGAGCTTTTTCGAGGACCAAGTTGCTTGTTGTGAAGAACAACATACCTTCAGGCTGGAGCCATAGGACAAGTGGGAGGAGGCTGCCTTGCTGCTGACCCAGGCTTGGTCCTGGCATCCCATAGGGTCCCCCCTGAGCACTGCTGGGTGTGGCCCCCCAAAATAAAAACTCAAAAAAACATCTTGGGTGACATGGGGCAGTTGTCTTCGACTATGAAAGCGCTTGCTTTGAGGATTGAAAGGGCCGAGTCAGTATTTGGCCTGAGTGCGCGCACACTTTCATTCTGTCTTTCTCTCTCTCCCCTTCTCTCCCACCCCCTTCCAGAAAAGACAACTGGCTGCACAGAGTTTAGCATTTAACTTAAAAGACAAAGTCTTCTGTGAATTATTTCCTGAAGTCGTGGAGGTAAGACAGTCAGGGAGGGGGTGGGGGGGATTGTGGGGGGCTGTGGAAGGACAGCACAGTGTGTGTTTGCCTTGTCCGTGGCCTACTCAGGTTCCACCCCCAGCACCCCATATGGTCCCCTGAGCTCCGTCACAAGTAATTCTGGGTATGGATGGAGCCAGGAGTGACCCCTAGCGCCACCATGGCAAAAATAAATAAATAAATAAAAAACAGAAGGAGGAGCCAGGTTTGCTTCCCTGGTACCAAAACAGTTTTCGATTAGGCTTTGTCTGAAAACAGCTCATGGGTGTCCTGCTCCCGGTGCTGGCACACCAAGCCTGGGCAGCTGTCCTTGGGGCTGGATAGAGGTCCTGGGAGGTGCCAGAAGTAGCCAGGCATGGGGCTTGGTAGGCTGCTGAGGTTCTGGGCATAACCTGAAGTGGCAGAAGGAGCCCAGCTATGAGTTAGCGGACGCATTGCTCGCACCCGGCTTATTCCAGGGTCTGGAAGGTGTGGGCCAAACGACTTTGGCAGGGCTTCGCTCCGTCTCTGGAAACGGGTTTGCAGAGCTGGCTCCTAGTGAGATGGGTGCCAGGTTTGAACATGCAGAACCGCCGTGCGGGCTGAGGTCTTGGTGGCAGGCCCTAATAGAACTGGTTTGTTCAGAGAGCCCTTCTCTTTCTTTCTGTATTTCACTTAGGAAATCAAACAGAAACAGAAGGCGCAAGACGAACTCAGCAATAGACCCCAGACTCTCCCCTTGCCAGATGTGGTGCCTGACGGGGAAGCACACCTCGGCCAGAATGGGCTCCCACTACTCAATGGGCACGCGCCGGGGGCCGGGCCCAACGTCGCGGGCCTCCAGCAGGCCAACCGGCACCACGGACTCCTGGGTGGTGCCCTCGCGAACTTGTTTGTCATAGTTGGGTTTGCAGCCTTTGCCTACACGGTCAAATACGTTCTGAGAAGCATCGCGCAGGAGTGAGCCACAGCCATCACCGGCAGAGGCGGAGACGAGGGACGCTAGCCCCAAGCGGGGCATGGACTGGCGAGCTCAGGGCTGACCCACCTGGCTCCGGGGCTCAGCTCTTTAGAGACCTTTAAGGGAAACAAAACCCAAGTGTGTCATTTGGATTTGGAGGCGTGAATGCCCGTCCTCTGCCCTAGGGCTGGGGGCCGCACAGCCTGACCATCCACGCAGAAGGGGCCTCACACTTGGGTTTTCTAGCTTATCTCTGTATTGTCCTTTGGACCCGTTTTAGTAAACCTGTTTTTCATTTTATTAGATTTGGTCACTTACAAATACAAAACTATGCCTGTTGCACCACTGCCTGCGTTCTTGGATGGAACGCCGGCCGCAGGCCGAAGGGGCTCCACTGACCAGTGGCACGGGCAGGGCCCGGTGAGGTGGGATGAAACAGATTACTTCTGGAGGGTTCCCTCCCACAAGAGATCTCCAACCTGCTCGCTTAGACCACAGGGTGGCGCCTTCCCTTCGAGAAGCTCAGCCAAGCTGAGCCCAAAAGCTGCTGGCCGGGCAGTGTGGGGTGGTCCTCCGGAGCCCCGGGGCCTGCCCTGAGCTCACGCCCACTTGGCCCAGATCCCCACGAATCCCTTCCTACTTGGGAGAGGGTAGAGACTCAGCCCACGGGTTTTGTGTGCTTTGAGTCCTGGTCTTTGCTTTTGAGACGGCCGACATGCCCCTTCTCACAGCTGCTCTTCCTGGGGGTGGGGGTGGGGCCCTGGAGAGCCCTGCGACCTGGAGTACAGGATCCCACTGCCCACCTGCTGTTCGTCTGCTGAAGGATCGTGCTGCACCTGGGTGGGGAGGGCGGGCAAGAGGCCTGGTCCTCACCCCCATGCTGGCAGAAGGATGCCAGGCAGCTCATGTGTTTGTACATCTTTGACTTTGTTTTTTGATCAATTTATTTAAAATTCCTCTATGATTTACCACTTGTATGTATTTAACCTACTCTTGTGGAAACAAAAACCTTTCATTATATCTTTGTTCCTAAGTTTTGTGCTGTTTACGTTGGTGGAGATGCGAACCCGTCTCTACCCATCTCGTGGTGCCCCTGCAGGTAGGGCCTGGCCTGGGCCTGTTTGCGAGTGTCTGTCATGGGCCCCACTGCGGGCTGTCCCCTCGGTTTCCTGGAACCTTCACTTGGTGGACACCAGGGGCTCTCAACTCAGGGACACTTGGTAGCAGTCGGTGTGTTCCCAGACCCTTGCCCTGTGGCCATGGGCTAGAGTCCAATCAGGACCTCTGTTCTCACGCAGCCTCCATAGGGGATGTATGCCCGGCCAGTGCCGCCTGACCTGCGAGTCAGGACAGCATGGAGCTGAGCGTGCAGGGTGCCCGGGGCCAGTGCCTTTGCTCCTGTCCAGGCCTGGCTCTCATGCTGTTGCATCTAGATGGCTTTGGAGGGTCATGGGGGTAGGGACAGGAAGGCCTGTGCTGACCTGTCTAGGTAGGACTCAAGCCTGCTGGAGGAGCAGGACGGGAGTGTCCAGCTGGTGTGAATGAGTGGGCAGTGTGTCCTGGGACACAGCAAGTGCCTTGGCTCATTCTCCAGAATTGTCCCTGGAGGTGTGGCTCAGCCTGTGGAGGAGGGGATACCAGCCAGGCCTGGCCAGGCACTTCTGTCCACGCGCTCCCCCTAGACACCGGTCGGATCGGGCCAGTGGGGCTGGCTCAGGCCCCGCTGGGGTCCCTGGCGCCCTGTGCTTAGCAGCTGGGCGGGGGCCGCACCAGGAGGTGGAGGCCGGGCTGCCCGCCTGGGGTCCCGCCCCGTGCACGCCCGGCCAGGGGCGGGGCAGGCGGCCGGCGCCGGCCCAGCCTGCAGGGACGGGAGCGCAGACATGCACCGGCGGAGGCCCGGCGCCCCCCGGGGCCTCGCCCCCGCGCGGGGGCTCTGAGCGCGCCAGCCGCCGCCATGCGCTGGGCCTGGGCCGCCGCCGTGGCCCTGCTCTGGCCTCCGCTGCTGGGGGGCGTCGGGGCCCGGCGGGAGCACAAGAGGCCGCGCCCCGCGCCCCCCAACGCCACAGTGTCCAGCGGTGCCTCCCCCAAGGTAGGGGCTCGGCGGGGAGGGTCGGGCAGGGAGGGGAGGCACTGCGGGCAGGGCGCCTGACCCCGCCGGAGGTCCCTGCCTGGACCCTCATGTCCCATCATCTTTCTGCTTGGTCTCGGGCAGAAAATGGGCTGGACCTTGGGTCCCCTCCCCCGCCTACCACACCGGGGCCTGAGGGGTCTGGGGCCCATCTCACCCTCACCCTTCTGGGCTGGTGATTTCCAAGGGGTCCTGGCTGCCGCGCCCCCTGCCTGCAGCCTTTGATCCTGGCTTCCCGCCTCCCCGGCGTCGCTGTGGCGGCCAGCCCGGCACCTCTCAACCCACGCGCCGCTGGAGCCTGCACCCTTCTCCCTGGCCCTGCCGCACTGGGCAGGGGGCTGGGCAGAGCCTCTGCAAGCTTTCCAGCCCCCACAGGGGTTGGATGCAGCTTGGTGGCTGCTTGTCCAGGACCCAGAACTCAGTTCCTGCTGTCCCTCCACCTGCCCCGCTGCCCTGGTCCAGGTGTGACCAGGGCCAGCGTACAGCAGGTACAAAGCCACCAGGATTCTCAGACATTTATGTTTCTCTTGTCCTGAGTGAAGACGCCCGAGCCCAGCTCATTCCACACCCCGGACAGGGACCCGCCTGGTCATCTGGTGGGCAGGAGCCCCCGAGCCCCTCGGTCCCGGCCATTGTGCCTTGTGGGCTACGTGCCCTGCATGGGTTCCAGGACCATAGGCTGCTGCCCGGCCTGGCCCCTGGCCTGTTCTCAGCCTGCTGTGGGGCCCACTGACCCCTCCCCACCCCCTGCAGTGAAGCCCAGGTACTAGCCTGGCTCTGACGGCCACTGCCTGTCTGAGCCTTGGAAGCGGGCACTGCGGCTTCCAGGCCCTGAGCCTGGGCCTCTGGACAGACCTGGGCTTGCTCCCGCACTCCACCCCTGTGGCCTGTTCACTGCTCCGGGACAGGGCTTGCCGTGGAAGGTGCTGTGTGGGTGTCTGGCTGCCATGCACGGAACCCGTCATGACAGTCCCCTCCCTGCTGCCTGCCTATCTGCCAGAGAAGGTGGACGCCCTTCTGATGTGGGCTGGAGGCCCGGTGGGCCGCGTGTCGCCCTGACCCCCTGTCCCTATAGTCCCCTGAGGCCTCTGCATCTGAGTTCTCGGCTGCCCACACGACGTGGCTGAACTTTGTCCGCCGGCCGGACGACGTGGTCTTGAAGAAACGTTGCCGTGGCCGAGACAAGAAGTCGGTGAGCAGGGCTCTGGGCCCAGGGTGGGGGCTATGGCTCAGCGCTCCCTCACTTTTTTTTGCCACCCACAGCGAGGCCTCTCTGGGCCCCCCGGGCCCCCTGGCCCCCCTGGGCCCCCAGGCCCCCCCGGTGCTCTGGTCACCCAGGATGCCCTAATGCAGGAGTTCCAACGGCTACTGAGAGGTGAGGTGCCACCGCCCTTCCCACCCTGCCCGGCCTGCCCGGTGCCTGGCTGAGCTGCTGCCCCCTCCTGCCCATGTTTGCAGAGGCCACCGAGCGCCGATTCTCGGGGCTGCTGGGCCCCTGGCTGTCTGAGGGGCCAGCCGGGCGGCTGGTGGAAGAGGCCTTTCACTGCCGGCTGCGTGGCCCTGTGCAGGTGGACAAGAGGACCCTGGCAGAGCTTCAAGGTTTCCAGGCCGTGAGTGGGGCCCGGGAGGGCAGCGCTGGAGGGGTCTGGGGCCTCGTGTCCAGAGGCAGGGCAGGCCACTGACCCTCCCAGGCGCAAGTGGGTGGAGCTTGCTGGCCGTGGGCCCCAGGTACCACTACTCACCTGCCCTCCCTCCAGCCCTCGGCCCAGGGCTCCTTCCTGCGGGGTTCTGGCCTGAGCCTGGCCTCGGGCCGCTTCACCGCCCCCGTGGCCGCCATCTTCCAGTTCTCTGCCAGCCTGCACGTGGGTGAGCCAGGGGCAGGCAGTGTGTGGGGGTGCCATCCCGCTCAGGGCCCACGTGGCAGAACCCAGCCCGAGTGACCCCTCCCATCTCCACAGACCCCCGGGAGCTGCAGGGCCGAGCGAGGCTGCGGGCACGGGACACAGTACGTGTGCTTATCTGCATTGAGTCCCTGTGCCACCACCACACGTGAGTGCCATGGGGTCCCGAGGGCTATGCCATGGGATCCCCACGCCAGACAGGCTGGGGCTGGGAGTCTTAGCCACAGGTTAGGGCTGGCCCTGGTGCCTCATGCTGGCCGGGGCTTGGGGCCAGGTCCCTGGAGGCCATCTCAGGCTTGGAGAGCAGCGGCCGGGCCTTCACGGTGCATGTCCAGGGGCTGCTGCAGCTGCAGGTAAGCGGCATTGGGGGGTGAGGGTGGGGGTCGGGTTGGGCTGGGCATGCACTAACCCACCGGGCCTGCAGGCTGGACAGTATGCCTCTGTGTTCGTGGACAACGGCTCCGGGGCGGCCCTTACCGTCCATAGCGGCTCCAGCTTCTCCGGCTTGCTCTTGGGCGTGTGAGCAAAGGGGACCCCGAGGAATGGTGCTGCCCGTGGTCACAGCAATAAAGAGCCCAGCCCTGACCCTGTCTCTGTCCCATGTATTGTGGAGGGGCGGTTGGGATTCGTGCTGGGTGCAGGACACTCTCCCTAGGCTTTTGCTCTAGATTTGGGAACTCACGGGCTTTGGGGCAGCCGCCAGCCAGCCCAGCCCCGGGTGCTGCCCTTCAGCCCCCTGTTTCCTGCCCCTCAGCCTCCCCTCCTCCCCCCGACCCTCCCACCTGCCCCTTGCACTGCTCCAGGCCTGTCCTAGTCTCCAACTGGCCTAAGGGGGACTGAATCACTTGCCAGGGCATAGGAGCTGTGGGTGGGGGAGGAGTGCAGGGGTGGGGGGCTCTAGGCCGATCCTGCCTGCAGGCCCCGTGAATTTGGGCCCCCTCATCCATATGCCATTTAGACTCTAGTAAACCCAGACGAAAGAATGTAAATTGGTCTTGAATGAGCGGCAGTGGGGCTGAGATACCATCTCTGGTTGGCACCCCAGTCCGGCAATGCAGACACTGGGGCAATGGATGGGGGGAGGGTGGTGCTGCGGCCGTCCGGTCCTGGAGGCAGCTGGGCAGTGAGGCGGGAGTGCTGGTGCCGGGCAGGCGCCGGCTGCTGACCCGTCCCCACCTCTCCTGGGGCCCACAGGGGAGAGGGGGTGGGGCTCTGCCTTTCCTAGAGGTGTCGGTGGGCCTGGCAGGGGTGAGGCTGGCTGCGATGACAGGGGGCGCAGACACAGGGACTGGCTGGGCCAGGAGGTGGGGACAGAAGGATGGGCAGGTGAGGGGCTGCCCACCCCACCACTTGCCGCCTCTCCCACCCTCTGCCCTGATTAGAGGCAACGGCCACTCACTGCAACGCCCTGGAATGTGCTGCCTGTCCCCTCCCCTGCGCCTGGGTTGCTTACCACAGGTCCTTGGGCAGAGGCAGGGGCTGTGTGCCGGGTCCCACAGCCTGTGACTGCTTCAGTCTTGGCACAGCCAGGGCTGGCTGGTCTCCTCTTTCCCCCTGACCTCTAGTGTCTCCCTCGAGCAGCGACCCTGCTAGCTGACCAGGTCACCCTCCCAGGGCACATCCCAGAATCTGTCTCATCCTGTGGTCACTTCTGGAATGGGCATTCGGAGTTGTCCGCAGGGCTGCCCCTGGGGGTCTTTGCTGGGTTTAGAGCTGACTCCGGACAGCGGTAATGTGGCATGTGGTTCGGGAATGTCTTCTCGAAGCTCTGTCCCAGCTGCGGGCCAGGGCCCTCCACGAGGAGGACCGAGGACAGATGTCTGCTGCTGGCTCTGGTCCCTGCTCAGATGGCCAGGGGGGGAGGGGGGTGCTTCTCTCTCAGCCCCTTGGGCGGTGCCTGACATGGGAGCCCTTGTTCAGGCTCCGCAGCCGCCCAGAGTCAGCCCTTGGAGCTGTCCATGGGCTGGGGGATCCTTTGGCTCTAGGATAGTCTGGAGAGTGCAGGCGGTCACCACGGTCACCACGGCACCACCCACAGGGAAAATCCTGCAGCCAAGGGAGAGCCCAGCTAGGCAAAGGGAGCCTCAGCGCCACCTGCCTGACCTGTCCAGTTGCTGTGCACTGGCTCAGCTGGGTGCTCCATCCTGGGGCGGGCCTCAGCACCCAGCTCTGGAGACCCCACGGCCGCGCTACAGGGTGGCCCCACGCAGAGCCCAGCACAGGGCTCAGCCAACTGCGTGGGAACAAAAGGCTTTTGTTTTGGAAGGTTGGGGTGTAGCCTCTGCTTGGGGCAGTCGCTCAGTGCTGGGGTGTGATAACAGTTTTGCAACAGCCTGTCAGACATACACACACATAGGCTTAGTCACACAGACACACAGACCCATAGTACGCACAGACTTAGTTACGTACAGTGATACAGACACACACAGCTATAGACACAGACACATAGTCACACAGACACAGTCACACAGGCTTAGTCACACAGACATACACTCATAGTATACACATAGTCACGCAGACGCAGTCACACCAACAGTCTGTCTCACACACAGACACAGTTGCACGGTCATAGATACATAGTCTCAGACACTCCTCATCAGTCACACAGACACATTCAGTCCCCAGACACAATCTCAGACACAGTCACAGACACGGAGTCTCACACACATACAGATACACATACAGAGACAGACACACGTGTCTGATGGTGCATGGGGCTGCAGACAGCAGACACAGCCGGGTTCCACTCTCACCCCACCTTTGTCCCTGTCGGGGGGTACCCTGGGCCTCAGGTCGAACCGCAGCGACTTGGACACACCCCCAGGCACACAGCTGGCAATGCCTAGCGGGGGTCGAGTTTTGCATTGTCCATCCATCACCCCGATCAGGGTGCAAGGTCCTGCGGGCAGCAGCCAGGCAGTGTGAGACCCTCAGACGCCACAGGATAGGGCGGGGCCTGGATGGCCTCTCCACGGTCACTGCACTGGGTCAGGTCAGGGTTAGCAGGAGGCGGGACCCACCTCCATCCACTATGCTGCAACAAGGGGGAGGGGGAGCGAGTAGACTCCTGCATCCCCAGGGCCACCCGCTGAGACCTGGGGGGAAGGTGATGGGGAGGGGGGGGGTTGGTGAATGATGGGGAGAGCCAGCCTGTCCTGCATGGCCAGGCTAATACTGTCTGCCTCCCTCTCCCCGCGACCTGGGCACTCTCAGGCTACCAGCTGTTTCCTGACATGCCTGCCCTGGTGACCATGATGCCTGCTGACCAGGCTCAGACCCCCGGTGCTCTTGGGGAGGGAGGGTTGAGGCAGAGGAGGGTGCCAGGGACAGCATTCTGCAGTCCCATGTCCCCAGCACAGGCTGGGTCCCTCAGGCCGGTGGCTTTGTGAGACAATTGGAGGTGTTGAATCTGGCAGAGGCCGTAACTGGAGGCCACAGGCTGGCTGGGTGGCCCTTGGCCTCGAAGAAAGGGGATGGGGCCTTGTTCCTTGTTCTGCTCTCCAGCCATTAAAAACCTCGGAGGGGCCGGGAAGTGGCCCCATAGAGACACAGGAGGCCAGGCCTCGTGGCCATGTCCTCAGCTCCAGGGGGAGACAGCTCTCCAGCATTCTAGCCCTTTTGGGGAGGAACACAGTGGCTGCCTCACAGACCGTCATGCATGGCCCAGTCCTGGTGGCACCCAGGGGCTCCTGCTGCAAGGTCTTGTCTCCCAGTGCCCAGTGCGGGCCCTGGGCGGCCATGGGCCCCGTGGATCCAGACTAAGCCTAAAGGGCAGCTGGAAGTCCCCCTGTGCTGCGTATTGGTGCCTTCCCTGGGCTTGGGGGAGGCTGCGGGGTCTCCTGCTCCCTCTGGCCTGTCTCTGCTGCCTCCTGCAGTGCTCAGCCCAGACTATGGCCATATGGCAGCTAGAAAGGGCCTGGGGTCAGGGCAGTGGGTAGGGAGATCTTGACCCAGATCCAAGATGATGGGGCAGCACCAGGGCCAGCCACTGACCTCTGCAGGGCAGTTGGGCCTGGACTGAAACGGGACTGGTTCCAGGAACCTAGTATATCTGCATTTTATTAGCGCTGTCAGCATCTGAATTTTTAAAATTTTTGTTTTGAATCACACCCAGCAATGCTCAAGGGTTATGGCTCTGCACTCAGGATTACTCCTGGTGGTGACGAAGGGAGCATAGGGGATGCCAGGGATCAAACGTGGGTTTGTTGGTGCAAGGCAAGTGCCTACCTGCTGTACTATTACTCTAGCACAAATATTTTTCACAGCGCTTGTTAGAAAATTATTTGATTTTGTTTTAGGGCCCACATGTGTTAGTGCTCAGAGATAACTCCTGGCAGGCCTCGGGGCCCAAGTGGGGTGCTGGGGATTGTACCCAGGTTGACCAGCCTCACATGCCGCTGGGAGTGAGAAAGGTAGAGAAAGGGATTTTTCTCTCAGGCACCCATGGCAGAGTCCAGCTAGCGAAGAAAACATGGGCCAACACGTCCAGGCCAGGTGTGGGAAGCTTCCATCCCTAGATCAGGACCCGTCTCCAAGCTCGCCCTGCCCCACCCCATGGCACTGCCCACGTCCCATCAATATCACTTTAGTGCAAGAATGTCCTAGAAATGAAACATTGTTTTCTGGAGATTTATCCCATTTGCGGACCCTTTCAAACCGTCCCCATTTCTTAGGCTCTGGGGCCTTGGCCAAGGAACTTGGTTTCTTGAGCCTCCTTGGGGGAAGAGTCAAATCAGCCTGTGGGCAAGGATGAGGCTGGTACCACACGTCCCATCCCACGCCTGCCCTCTGCTAGGGCTTGGGGACAGGACCAGAGTTCCCAGGAGAGGACCTCATGGTGCCTGATGGGTACCATATCCGATGGGTGACATGGCCCTGGTGCTCTGGTAGGGAGGGCACAGGCAGACATTAACTAAGGAGAGGCAACCAATTGGAGAAATTGGGGGACCTATGTTCTAGAACATTGCTTGCCAACTGTTCTAGGGTCTCACTTCCTGCTGCTCCGGTCCAGCACTGGTGGCAGAGGAAGGTACCAAGGCAAGGGGGAAACTGGAGCTGACAGAAGCAGGCTGGGAGGGGGCAGGTTCCGTGCCGGGCAGCTTGGCCTCACCAGCACACGTCTGAGGACTGGCAGGTGGCGTGAGCCCCTCCAGGAAGGGGCCTGTCTTTGTGGGCACCCTCCCGTGTCCTGAGTCCTGGCATCAGGTGTCCTGCAGTGTGGGGTGTGGATGGGCAAGTTGGGGTAGGCCTGCTCTGTCCTGAACGTCTCAGACACTGGATGCACACAGGCCCACCCCCCACGTCGACCCAGAGCTCCTGGGCAGGGTGAGGGCTTCTGCTCCTGGGCTCATGGACCGGGGACGGGCCACGTCCACACTGTCCAGCTTCCACAGGCCCCTCTACATGCCGACTGCACACAAGATCCCCCTCCAGCACCTCATTCTGCCACCCTTAGCCTGGACGCTGTCTCACGAACCTGGTGCTGAGCTTCTACTGGCCGACACAGACCAGTGGCCTGGTCATCAGGACCCTAGGCACCTCAGGCCTCTGCTCAGGCTCCCCGTGACAGGGGCAAGCCAGGCAGGCCACTGGCTGCATAGCCCCTTCTTTCACCTTAAAGACTTCCCGAGCCTGCTGCAGGAATTGGTTGTGTTCTCCAAATCTGTCTGAAGGCCCCAGTGTGATGGCCTCTGGAAGGTGACCAGGTCAAATGAGGTCATGAGGATGGTCCACGGTAGGGAAAACTAGAGTGGCCTTGTTGGCACCCGGTTTCAACTTCCAGCTGAGGCTGCGGCCACAGCCACTGGAGCTGAGAGCCACATGAGCACGTGGGCCAATGGCCAGGGACTGTAACCCCAGCAGTGGGCCCAAACAAAGATGGTGACCACCCAGCCCACACTTCTCCCATGACCCCCACGAGACCTTCACTGTCCAGTTTCCCAGGGCCAGCACTGAGGTCAGAGAGGCATCCACATGCTGGATACCAGGCCTTGTGTCCTTGGCTGGGACTCACTGGCCAACAAAGCCTGTTATTCAAATGGAATCTGAAGACCTGCTTAAGGAACGGCAAGGGTTCTTTGGGATTCCTGAACTCCAGCCCAGGCTCTTCATCACAGCAGAGGGAGCGCCAAGAAGCACCTTAACAGGGGCGTCTCAGACAGTGGGGCTTACAAAGAGGACGGATTCTTTCCCCTTCCACCTCCTGCTGCTACAGGGACCTGCGCTCTTGCAAACAGACACAGCATTTCAAGGGCTGGAAGACAAGCCTTTTCTTCAATAATTTAAGAGAGCACCGAGCCCACAGGCTCCCACTTCATCACTCTCGTTTACATAAAGCTGCACTTCATGTTTACATCAAGTTTACATCAAGGCGCCAAGCGCAGTGGGTCGGCCTGGATTCACAGGAAATCGCGCAGAGGTCAGGCCACGGGGGGGGGGGGGGGGGCCTCAGGGCCGGCACAGGCGTCTCCGGGCGGCGGGCGCAGCGCAGGCTCCCGGTCTCCCCCGGCTCAGAGGTGGGGCAGGCCCCCCCCCCCTCCCCCGGCTCTCCCCTGTGGCTCGGGTGCGGCGCGGCCTCCCCACTCCTCTCCTCTCTCAGCTGGGGCTTGCGCGGGCCGCTCCGGGGGGTCGGCGGCTGCTCAGGGGATGCCCTCCTTCCGCTGGCAGCACTGCGACGGCGGCGCTGACCAGTCGTACTCGTAGGACAGGCGCAGCTGCACCTCGTGCTCGCACAGGCGGCCGAGGCGGGCCAGCGTGCGTGCCTTCTCCAGCATGTCCTCCGGGCTCTGCTTGTGCGTGACCAGATACTGGTTGCTGCAGCCGCGGGACCGGTACTCGGTATCGAAGCGCGGGTCGTGCTCGCGCTGCACGTCCACGGGCGCCAGCCAGGCGCCCAGCGACACGTCCTCACTGTGCCAGGCGCGCAGGTAGGCGCGGCTAAGGCGCAGGTAGTGCACCAGGTCGGCCGAGAGCACGTAGCCGCCGCCCAGCGCGTAGGGCAGGTAGTAGTCGCAGAGCTGCCAGGAGGCCTCGCGCCAGCGGCCCCCCGGCTTCACGCGCCCGCGGCCAGAGAAGAAGCCCCAGTAGAGGCGGCGGCGCCTCGCGGGATCGCGCGCGCGCAGCTCGGCCAGCATGGCGTCCAGCCGCACGAACGAGTCGTCGTCCGCCTTGAGCACGAACTCGAAGGCCACGTGCTCGTCCAGCCAGCTGAGCATGGCCAGCACCTTGGCCGTGAGGTTCTCGTAGGCGTCGCGCAGCGCGGGCAGCAGCAGCAGGTCCCCGTGGCGCGCCTGCTCGCGCTCCAGCGCGCGCCGCTCGCCGGCGCCCAGGCCGCGCGTGCCCACGGCGAAGCGCGCCCACACGGCCCCGGGCGGCCCGCGCCGCGCCGCCGCCAGCCACGTGCTACGGATGGCGGCGCGGCGCTCGGTCGCGCGCGGCGCGCTGGCCACCAGCACGGCCAGGAAGGCGTTGGCGGCGGGCGCGGGTGCGGGCGTGGCGCGGGGCGCGTCGGCCGCGCAGCGCGCCAGGTAGAGCAGCGCGGCGCCGCCCAGCGCCAGGCCGCCCAGGGCCAGCGCCGCGCGGCGCCGCCACGCGCGCCGCGGCAGCTTCATGGCGGGGCCGGGCGGGCACCGCGCAGGCGCCGTTGCGGCCTGTCACGTGGCGGCGCCCGCTTCCGCCCGGAAGCAAGATGGCGCCGTCCCGCCCCGCCCGCCCCGCCCCTGCCCGGAAGCAAGATGGCGGCGGCCTGAGTGGGCCGGCCGGGCGTCGGGGTTGCCGCGGTGAGTGCGGGGCCGGCGGGCCGTGGGGGCGTCTGTCGCCGGCGCATGCGGCCGCCCCTGCCCGGGCCCCCCGCGCCCGCCGGCGGCTCCGGAGTCTCCGTGACGTTGGCCGCACCCGGGGGCGCGGGGCCCGCCGGGACTGGCGCAGCTAAGGCCCGGCACGGGCCGGCGTTCGCGCCCGCCCGTGGGTGCGCGGGGACCCCCGCCGTGCGCGCTCGCGCGGGGGTAGCGCCGTGGGGAGGCGGAGGGCTGGCCGCCGGGGGTACGGTCGCCCCGCCAGGATGTGTGCCCAGGGCTGCGGTGAGGCGGGAGCTTCCTGTCTTGTGGGAAACCGGGGGCGGTGGGCAGTGCCGGACTGGCCCCAAGGTCATCCGGGCCTAGAGGGGAGGGGCCCGGCTGCGGCAGGCCTGGGCCGCCAGTGCCCCCCGACCCAGTATTCCCTGTGTCCGCAGAAACCGTCTTTCCGGGAAGTGTCGGAGGCGTTGTCGGACAGCAGCTCCGGGCCACTCATCGGCTGCTGGGGGCCTGTGGGTGCACAGGTGGGCCGGGGGGCTAAGGGGCGAACCTGCTCGGTCCGGCCTGGTGCTCCGATGCAGCCCCGCCACACTCCCTCACCTGTCCGCCCCCTCCCCAGCTCCTCCCGGGCCCAGCCGGCCATGGCGTGTAGACTGGCCCCGCTGGGCAGCCCGCTTCCTCGCTGCCTCTGGCTCCTGGGGCTCGTGCTGCTGATGCGCGCCTCTGCACGGCCTGCCAACCACTCTTCTGCTCGGGACCGAGCCAGCAGAGACGAGCACGAGATCCTGCCCCCTGACCACCTGAACGGGGTGAAGCTCGAGCTGGACGGGCACCTCAACAAGGACTTCCATCAGGAGGTGTTCCTGGGGAAGGACACGGACGGGTTTGAGGAGGATGCCGAGCCGCGCAAGAGCAGGCGGAAGCTGATGGTCATCTTCTCCAAGTAGGCACCGACCCTGCCTGCCCACGTGCACTAGGAGTCTGCGTGGCTCATGTGTGCCGGGCACACACTGGCAGTCTGTGCTACACAAGCACACTCACTACGTGCTCGTTGAGCACACTCAGAGATCCCCTGTGCCGTGTACACACACGTCACGTGTGTGTGTGAGCATGCAGAGATCGTGTCATGAACACAGTTGTGTGAGCGCACGGAGATCATACGTGTATTGAACTTAAACAGAGATAACCTGTTCTGTTAACGTAGAGATCACACGTTCCATGTGTATGTGAACACATGCAGATTACCTGTGTGCAGTGAGCACACAGGTATGGTGTTATTGAATGGTGGTGATCACACGTGACTTAAACACATGCTGTGAGCACATATGGGTCACTTGTGCATTGAGCATGCAGAGCTCACTGTGCTGCCAGCATGAGACAGACCTGGGACATGGGCAAAGGGGACACAGGATTCGGGCGTAGAACACGGGGACTAATGGACACAGGTCACTGGGGCCTTTTTGCAGGGCAGGGTTTAGGTCGCAGGCCTTGGGGCAGAGTGTCTGGGCGGAGGACCTGAGGGCCGCCAGGACAGGCTGCTGAGGCCCTGAGGACTTGGAGATGCAGGTGGGTGTGACTTCCCCTGACTTGGGGTGAGGGCTGTAGTGCCTTTGGGCCCAGCTGCCCCGGTGGTGAAGGAGGCTCCCTGGGTCCGTGGTGCCTGGTGCCCACTGCAGCTAGCATCTGCACGGAGCAGCCTGGCTGCGCCCCAGAGCCCTCTGTAGAAGGGCGGGGCATTCCCACACAGGAGCCAGCTCTTGCCAGCACCACCTGAGCTGTGGGCCCTGTCCTGACAATTTCTCTGAGCTCAGGACCCCCACACAGGCAGGCAGTGCACATTGCATCCCTCACTTCCATCTTGGGGGCCACCTGGTGAGCTGACTGCTCTGGCTTTTCATCCCTGTCAGGTGTCTCCGCCTTGTCACTCCAGCATGGCCCACTTAAGGTGGGGCTCCAGCTGAAGGTGGGACTGAAGGTTGTCTGTCCCCCCGGTTGTCCCGACATGTCCCTGTGGCCTGGAGCTCTTGGTCACAAGCTTCTGTCCCTGTGTCCGCAGGGTGGATGCTGACACCGACAGGAGGATCAGTGCCCAGGAGATGCAGCGCTGGATCATGGCCAAGTCTGCCGAGCACCTGCGGGAGGCTGTGCAGGAGAGCCGGGCACACTTTCACGCCGTGGACCCCGATGGGGATGGTGAGGTGGGGCCCACCCAGCCCGGACGTGGCTGCAGCGCAGGAACCTGGGACAGGAAGCAGGAGGGAGGCACACCCAGCTGACTTTGCAGGCTGGTGTGGCAGTGGGGGTGGGTCCCTCAGTGGATGTGGGTGTGGGTGTTGGAGAGAGAGAGAGTGTGTGTGTGTGTACAGGTGTGGGTGTGGATTCTGGTGTGTGGGTATGGGAGTGGGTGTGTGGGTGTGTATGGGGGATCTCTCAGTGTGGAGTGGAAGTGTGTGGGTACGGGTGTGGGTGTTGGAGGGGGTGCAGGTGTGTGTGTGGGGGGAGGTGCAGGTGTGGGTGTGGATGCAAGTATATGAGTGGGTGGTGTGAATTCACAAAGTAAACCGTGGGGGATGCGCCTTGCGTCCGGTGGCCCAGAACTGCCTCTCTGCTTCCCCAGGGCTCCCCGACAGGGAGATGGGGAGACAGGGACCACAGTCTGATTGTGAAAACTGCCTGTTTAATGCAGTGCTGCTAGCATACTTACAGAACATCTGAAAAGGGAGGTTGAGGTAAGGATAGGTGTGATTGGTCATTTACATAGATAAACATTTGGCAGAGGAAATTAAATTCTCTTGGGGAGATCAGCTCAAGGAGACACTCTGTCTCGTTGAGACTTTGTTGTTATCTTTCCCTCTGATTGTATATGTTATCAATACTTGCAGTTGTTTGGATAAACACAGTAAGAGACAAAGATCCCAACACTGAGTTCTCTGGGATGAGAACAAGCAAGGCTTTTACCGTAAATCCCAGACTAAATCCTCAGACCAGTTCAGCTTGTCCTTCCTCATGGGAGTACTGTCTCTTAAGTTGTACCAGCTTGCATCAAGACCATGCATTTTTATGCTTTCTAGACTGTCCCATTTCGATGCCCGGTAGCTTTGCCACTCGCCCCGGGACCATCCCAGTCCCACGGCGGGACCTCCCTTTAGGTGTGTTAGGAACTACAGCAACTGAAACCTGAGTCAAGTAATTCTGACCAAGTAATTATGCCCAGGAACAGGTATATTTCAGAGAGATTTCAGCAGAAGTTGATTTCAGAGCCAAACAACTCCCAAATATTAGGAGTTGATTAATGGTCTTCCTGCGTTTAACCAAAGAACATTGCTCTATAGTAAATATAAAAAGGCTATAGGGAAATAGAAAAGCAGGTACATTTATACAGCACTTCAAATACAAAACAGTACAAATTCGAGTTCAGAATTACCAGAAAGTTTTGGCTTATGGGCTAGAGCAATAGCACAGCAGGTAGGGGGTTTGCCTTGCACATGTCCGATGGATTCGATTCCCAGCATCCCATATGGTCAGGAGTAATTCCTGAGTGCAGAGCCAGGAGTAACCCCTGTACATCTCCGGTTGTGACCCAAAAAGCAAGAAAAAAAAACCCTTTTTGGCTTACAAGTAATCAAGACTGACTGGGGAACTGTGACAATGAGCAGCAAAATACAAGGGAAAGGTTAAAGATAAACTTTAGTTAGGGATGCTAGCAAGGGCAAGCAATTAAACTTCTCTGGGAGGAAGAAAGGGGGCAATTTACTGATGAAGCCTAAAGCACTTAGGGTTGATATCTAACCAGTGGAGGGTCCCTCCGTGGGTGCAGGTATGTGTGGGTACAGGTGTGTGTGGGTGTGGGTATGTGTAGGTGTAGGTGTGTGTGTGGGCATGGGCATGGTGGGGGTATATGTGGGTGTCTCCTACAACTGCCCCCGGTTTTGGCTCTCTCTTCTCGGGGCCTGGTGCATGGTGCAGCGTGCGCCCTCCCTGCTGTCCTGGCCCCTAGTGGCCTGTGTGGCTCCCTGTCATGCAAGGCGATTTGATTGAGTCGCTCGTGTCCCGGCTGCTCACGGCCGCCTTGCTGGGTCGGTCCCCTGATCTGGTGGGCCGGTGTCCCGCAGGCCGCGTGTCATGGGACGAGTACAAGGTGAAGTTCTTGGTGAGCAAAGGCCATGATGAGGCAGAAGTGGCCGAGAAGATGAGGAACCATGAGGAGCTGAAGGTGGATGAGGAGAGTGAGTGTCCATCTCGCGCCCGGCCCTGGGGAGGAGCAGGAGGGTGGCCGGTGTGGGACGTGCCCCAAGCCAGAAGCCAGGACAGCTTTGTGGTGTCTGGGGTGCGGGTGTGGGAGGCCGCGTCCAGCATGGCTGAGTCTCCCTCACCCCTGGGACCTGTTCCCACTCCCATGAGCCAGGAATGTGACCTGGCACTCGGCTGTCCCTTGTCAAGGCCGGGTGGTCCTGTGGGAGTCTCAGGCAGCTCGCGAGCACATGGCTTGTCTCCCCCTGCGGTAGCTTTGCTGAGGGATCCGCAGTGCCAGGCCTTCCTGTCTCGGGCTAGCATCCCACCCAGTAGCCTGGGCAGTACAGGGGGCACGCATTTTCTGGGGTTGTGAGCAACTGTGAGGAGTGCCCACGTGGGTGTCCCACCTGTGCCTGCGTGCTACCCTGCCTATCAGGTGGGACATCAGCAGGTCCCCTCTGCCTGGCCCACAGGTGGGGCTCAGATTCTATCCAGAGCGCCTCCTGCATCTCGAGGTGTCGCCGCATGGCTGTGCACACAGACTGGAGTGGGCAGCGCCCAGTTGCAGGGCTCGTGGGCCCTTGGTGTCCGGTCAGGCTGGGCTGGGTGCTGCAGGCTCCCTGCGCTATAGCCGGGAGTCAGGTGGTTCTCGCGGGCCCTTCCTGGTGGGCTGCACGGTCTGCGTGCGGAGGGAGGGGACTGCATTGTCCCTGAGGCCATCCAGGGGGTGAGGAGCCCAGCTGTCCCTGCTGCTGGGATGTGGCCTCTCACTGTCCACCTTTGATTCCCCGGGGTACCCTTGCAGTTGGTGAGCCCCACCCCGTGGTGTGCCTGGGCTATGGGTGGGGTCGTAGGCAGGGCCACAATGAGGGCAGGGGGCAGGGGTCTCCGTGCTGGGAGCTCCCACCCTGCTGTCCCTTTAGGCTGCCCTTTGTGGCCACGAGCCTGCTTCCTAGAGTGAGGATCAGCCCAGCCATCCTGTGGACATGTCCTGGGGTTCCTGGAGGTTCCCGGGGTGCCTCTGTGGGGGCGTCCGCCTCTCAGAGTGACTCGAGGGCCACTATCAGAGCCCAGGGGCAGCATGTGGCTTCCCTGCTGGCTTGTCCCTGATGGGCAGCACCCCCAGCCCACTTGGATGGGTGGGTACAGCAGTGTCCCCCCAGGACAACGTATAGCTGGGTGTCCCTGCACCCTGGGGACCCCTCCGGGTGCAGAAACACCTGCTGGCCCCTCCTGTGCACATAGGCCTTCCTTGTCCCTGCTCTTCCGTGCCCAGCGTGAGACAGCCGGTAGTCCAGGGCGCTGGGGGTCACGACCCTGTGGAAGCTTCCGGCAGGTGTCGAAGTGCTGGGTACCTATGCTGCTCCCTTCTCAGCACAGGAAGTCCTGGAGAACCTCAAGGACCGCTGGTACCAGGCGGACAACCCCCCCTCGGACCTGCTGCTGACCGAGGACGAGTTCCTGTCCTTCCTGCACCCCGAGCACAGCCGTGGCATGCTGAAGTTCATGGTCAAGGAGATCGTGCGGGACCTGGGTGAGGCCCGGCGGGGCTGCTCCTGTGCCATCCCGGGTCTGGCTGCGGCTGGGCCCTGGGAGGCGCCAACGCTGCTCCCTCCTTCCTGCAGACCAGGACGGAGACAAGCTCCTGTCCCTGTCTGAGTTCATCTCCCTGCCGGTGGGCACCGTGGAGAACCAGCAGGGCCAGGACATCGACGACCACTGGGTCCGAGACAGGAAGCGTGAGTTTGAGGAGCTCATCGATGCCGACCACAATGGGATTGTGACCATGGAGGAGCTGGAGGTACAGGAGGACACGGGCCAGAGAGACGTGGGGGGACGTGGGGGGCCAGGGGACTGGGGGGATGCGGAGGCCGCGGGGGACTGGGGGCGCGGAGGTCAGGGGACTGGGGGACATGAAGACTGGGGGATGCAGAGGCTGGGGGGGATCTGAGGGACTGGGGGACGCGGAGATTGGGGAACGCAGAGGCTGGGGGGGATGTGGGGGACTGGAGACGCGGAGCCAGGGAACTGGGGGACACAGAGGCAAGGGGACTGGGGGACACGAAGACTGGGGGACGCAGAGGCTGGTGGGGGATGTGGGGGGACTGAGGGACACGGAGGCCAGGGGATTGAGGGACGTGAAGACCGGGGGACTGGGGGATGCGGAGGCCTGGGGACTGGGGGCCGGGGGGCCTTGTCGAGGGGCCCTGTAGACAGGCTCTAGCTGTCGCTGAGGAAAGGGGGCAGGAAATGAGCTGAGTGTTGGGTACTGGGCACTCAGAAGGCCTCAGGTTGCAGCCTCACTTGCCCACTTGGTGCTGAAAAGTTGGCCATGCTTTGCGGGCTCGTTCCCTCCATGCCCCAGCTCTGTGGGTCCCCCTTTTCCTCTGTGGTAGGGGACATCCCAGTGAGGATGGGGTAGCAGCATGGCACACACACCATGCTAACAGCAGGCTGGCTGAGCCACATCCAGAACATTCCCCAGTGCCCTGCTGCTCTGGCCACGCAGCGCTCAGCAGGGGGACTTTGCTCGGCTGGTCATGGGTCAGTCTCGGGCATGGGCACGGGCCGCTGGGTGTGGCTGGACGGCAGGGCTGACTGGGAGCCTTGCAGAGCTACATGGACCCCATGAATGAGTACAGCGCTCTCAACGAGGCCAAGCAGATGATCGCCATCGCAGATGAGAACCAGAACCAGCACCTGGAGCCCGAGGAGGTGCTGAAGTACAGCGAGTTCTTCACGGGCAGCAAGCTGGTGGACTATGCCCGCAACGTACACGAGGAGTTCTGAGGCCGCCTCCTGTGCTTGGAGCCGGCCCTGTGGCGGGCTGAGACCACAGGCACAGCTGCTCCTGCTGGTCCCAGGAGAACTGAAAGTGGAGACGAACAGGGAGGCTTTGGGTGCCCGTGTCTGCGGCAAGCCCTGGGGTGCTGGGGGCTGTCCGTCCTAACGGTCTCTAGAAGAACGGAGACTCAGTGACCAGAGTCAGCAGATTCATGTTCAAGGAGAGCTGCCTTTTTCTCCCAGTTGCATTTCTTTGATGATAAACACACAAAATAATTTGGATCATTTGTGGGCTGGTGGCTTTCAGGGCCGGTGGGGGTGGGGGTGGGTAATCTTGGGACCCCCCCCAAGACCTGAGCTCTGGGGCCCACCAGCTGCAGCTGTGTGGGGGAACTGGGCGAGGGACTGGGGCATATATGCATGCAGCAGCTAGAGAGGCAGGTCGTGGGGGTCCTCAGGGCAAGGTTGGGGGTCCAGGCTCCAGAGTGAAGTGAGCGGGGCGCCTCAGAGTAGGAGGCCTTTTGCCTGTAAACCACACCTCTCCTCCATGGGGTCAGGTGGGCCTGAGCTTGGGCAGTGGAGGAGGAGGGAGGATATGTGGCCCGCCGGGTCATCCCAGGGCACCATTGAGGGATCACCCCACCTGGGCTGGTTTCGGGAGCGGCCGTGTGGAGGGGCTAGCTGACTGTGGGCACCAACCCTCAGCCTGCCCTGCTCTGGGCCATGTGGCCTTGGATGGCCCTGGGAGGCAGCTCTGACCCGGCCACCCCTGTCTGAGCTGCAGAGGGGAGCCGGTCTCTACAAACTGCTCCTCAGCTCACTGCCATGGGTGGGCCCTGCCACACCACCGCATCCACCTTGCTGGCAGCACCCTGTGGAATTCCCCAAAGGAGGCCCTGAGGAAGTGCCTCACCTGTGTGGTTGGTGGGAAATTCCGGCACCGCCCCCACCTGAAACCTCACAACTGGCGACTCAGCAGATCCTCAGGGGCTCAGGCTGATGGGAAGCTGCACGCGTGTCTGTGCCAAGGGGCGCGGAGGTGACGTGTGTGCTGCTGTAGACAGGTGCTTGTGGCATGAGTGAACAGTGTGTCATGGAGCGATGAGCGTACCGTGTACACAGTTTACTGTACATGTCCTTGCACATGCTTACAGTAGGCGTGCTCAGACACATCGTGCACATGTGTGTGTGCATGAATGCCATTTGCCGGGAGTCCAAGGCCCCGACAAGAGGCAGGACAGTGGGGCTGGTGCAGATCCCGGGGTGTGGGCCTCCTGCTCACATCTGCTGAGTTTCTCCTCAGAGGCTCCCATACCCACGTTCCACCCACAGGAGCGGCCCCCGGGGGTGGCTGTACAGCCCCCGCAGCCGTCCAGGCCTGGGCTGGCATTCAGGGTGGAGGTGCCTGGAGTCCCCGAGCCCCTGTGTCTCTGAGCTTGGACCTGCCTGAGCTTGGACCCGGAGCCTGTGTCCACGCTGGGCTTTGCACAGGCGGTGTAACCGTGTGCTCTTCTCGCTCCCAGCTGCCGGCCATTTGTGGGTCCCTACCCATCAGGGCGCTGCAGATAGGGGTCAGAGGTCTGAGGCTGAGGACCCCCTGGGTGGTGGCACCAGAAGGCCCCTGTGGAGGGCACCCAGATCCCAGCCCATTATCAGCACCAGCCTGAGGGGGCACAGGTGCCCTCAGGGTTCTCACCCCACCCCCTCTGCTCCTTGTCCCTCCTCCTCCCGCCCTCCCCTCCCCGCAGCCCTTATAGCCACATCCTGCAAGGAAAAACCCGACACACCACCCCGACCGCACGCTCAGCACCACGGGAAGGATGCAGGTGGCCAGGGGGCCGCCCGGGGCGCCCGGCACAGCCCCCCAGCTCCTGCAGGTCCTTCTCCTGGGGCTGCAGCTAGCCGAGGGGGCCCGGCTGCACTGTGTCGGGGCCACTTACCCGGGGAACGGCAGGTGTTGCCAGGAATGTGCGCCAGGTGAGCAGGCTGGCCCAGCGGGAACGCTGGCAGAGCCGGGGGGCCGGGAGGTGCGAGGGGTGACCAGGGCTGCCTGCCGCAGGCTTCGGCATGAAGAAGCGCTGTGACGACAACCAGGACACACAGTGTCAGCCGTGCCAGTTCGGCTACTACAATGAGGCCTTCAACTACCAGCCATGCCAGCCCTGCACGCAGTGTTTCCACCGTGAGTGGAGTGTGCCGGCCTCGGCGCAGACAGCACCACCCCTAAGGACGGCGGGGGGCGGGGGGTGGGGGTGGGGATAGAGCAGGGGAGTTGGGGGCCGAGGGCCCGGGGAAGCTGTGGGTGGGGGGAGGAGGTGGGAGGGGCAGGGGAGCTGTGGGCACGGGTGCCCTGGGGAGCTGCAGGGACGCTGGTGAGGGCGCCCCTGGGGCGCAGGATTGGGCAGGTGGACACTGGGCTACCCTCTGCTGCCCTGTCCCCAGGAAGCGGCAGCAGGATGCAGCAGCAGTGCACGTCCACGCGCGACACCGTCTGCAGCTGCCAGCCAGGCATGCAGCCCCGACACGGATACAAGCTGGGAGCGGGTGAGCCTGAGGGCCGGGCAGTGGTAAGGGCCATGGGGACGTCCAGGCAGCAGACGCTGAGGCGCTGTCCTGCTGTCTCCTGCAGACTGTGTCCCCTGCCCCCCAGGACACTTCTCCCCCGGTCATCACCAGGCCTGCAAGCCCTGGACCAAGTGAGAAGCTAATCCGAGCCAAGGGTGGGCGGGAGGGGGTGGGCAGGAGCCTGTGGCTCTTCAGCTCAGTGGGGCCCCACCTACCGAGGGCCCCTGTCTCCCACAGCGCCCACTGTCCTCCCCAGAGCCCAGCCGGGCCCTCTGGGCTCGTTTCCTCCATCCCACCGGGCCAGCCAGGGACAAGGCAGCCTTGTGCCATGCTGGTGGGGCAGGAAGGCCAGGGTTTCTGGGTATGGGATGTGAGGGGAATGGGGGCCCCTCCCATGCCCACCCCACCTCTCTGTTCCCCAGCTGCTCCTTGGCAGGAAAGCCTACCCTTCGGCCAGCCAACAGCAGTGTGGACACCGTCTGTGACGAGAGAAATGCCACAGCCACGCGCCCCACAGACACCCCCAGCCCCACAAGCACCCAGGGCTTGGCCTCCCAGAGTTCCTCCAGCCCCTCCAGAGAGCCTCCTGGGGGTAAGGGGTCTCGGGGTATGGAGGAGGGAGGGCCAGGAGGGAGGGGAGCGGCCTCCAGCCTGTCTGTGGCCTCCGCAGGACTGTTCCCGGCAGGCCGTGCGCTGGCGCTGGGCCTGGGCCTGGGTCTCCTGGCCTCAGGGGCCCTGCTGGTCCTGCTCCTGCACTGCCGACTCTGGAGGCGGCTGCCCGGCACCCCCAGCGCCCGAGGTGAGTGTCTGCACTGGGCCTGGCCCAGTCTCGGCAGGGGAAGGACCCTCACTCTGCTCTCCCTCCCCAGGTGGGAACAACTTCCGAACCCCTGTCCAGGAGGAGCACGCAGACGCCCACTCCAGCCTGGCCAAGATCTGAGCCTGCGTTCCCTGGGGACCCTGGGGAGTGGGGCCCCCCGCTGCACTGTTTTAGGTGCTCCTGGGCCCCTGGGGCCCACCACCTGTGCCCCAATAAACCACTTCTGCAAACCAAGATCCCTGACTGGACTGCGGGCTGGGCAGTGAGGGGGCTCCACAGCCTAAAGCCCCTATGGGATCAGAGCCACAGGACAGTGGGGAGAGTACTTGCCTTACATGTGGCCAACCCAGGTTCCATCCCCAGCATCTCCTAGATCCCTTGAGCACCATCAAGAGTGGTCCCTGCAATGCAGAGCCAGGAGTAAAATCTGAGCATCACTGGATGTGGTCCCCCAACAAAAACAACCCCCCCAAAGTCCCTGAAGGTTCTGTTCTGGGGGTCTCTGTGCTTAGGGGTATGTCAGTCTGCCAAGGCCTGTGGGGTCTGTAGTGCCCAGCCGGGTGCGAGAGGTGGGGCTCTGAGCAGACACCGACACTCCCCTTGAGTCTCAGGACCCCACATTCTGCCAGTCCTGAGTGTGTGTCCCTCAGGGGTGCTGCCGTTGCCTGCCAGGTCCTGTGGGCGCCTGGAGTTCCTGGTAGGAAGCACTGTCCTCAGGACAACCCAGGACAGCAGAGGCACGGGCATCCCCCTTCGCCCCTTGGCTGACCCCAGAGCTGACAAGCTCCAGCTGGAGGTGGACAGTTGCAGAGTGGGGACCACAGTTGCAGAGTGGGGACCACAGTGGGGCAAGGGCAGCGGTGCATATATGGGCAGCCAACTCCCCACAGAGCCCCAGTCGGGGGCTGGCTTGGAGTGAACCCTCAGAGCAGCTGTGAATCGAAATCACAGCCAGACGCCCCTGGAGGCTGGAGGCGGGTAGGGGTCTGAGATGAAAGGGGGTATGGAGGGTGCAGGTCTTTCCCAGAACACCCTTAGTGGAGGGTGGGGGTCTCGACCCCTCCCCAGGGTCATTTGCAGGCTCTAGGGCTCAGGGCACAGGGATCCCACTGCACTGGCCATTGCTGACCCAAACCTGCTTCTGCTGCCACTGTCCTGCAGGCATGTGTGTGTGCATGTGTGTGAGTGTGTGCGCATGTGCACGTGTGCGTGCGTGTGCACGTGTGCGTGCGTGTGTGTCTGTGTGTGTGTGTACACGTCAAGACAAATCTGCTCTGGTCCATGTCCTGCCTGACCCGTTTCTCTCTAGGCCAGGAGGGTCCCCCTGCAGTAGCCTGCAGGACGGTGGAGTTTTTTTAAATCCACCCTGTGAATTCAGCTTCTGGTTTCCCAGCCAAACAGAGGGGACGCGGAGGACATCCCGGTGTACCTGAACACACGCGAGGCCCCTGGGCGTCCCCACAGCGCGGCCCCCGCGGGTCTGGCGATGCACCACCACCGCGCAGCTCCTGGCCAGTCTCGGGAACAGCTGCGCCCGCGCCCCACTCCCTGCGCGCGGGCGGCGGGGCGCGTTGGGGCGCGTTGGGGCGCGTTGGGGCGCGTTGGGGCACGGTGGGGCGCGCGGGGCCGGCAGGGCGTGGCGGGGCGGGGCGTGGCGGGGCGGGGCGGACCCGAGCCCCTAAAGCCCCCGCGCGCGCGCGCGCGCGCGCGGGCGGCGGGCGTCATGTCCAGAGGCGCGCGCGGGCTGTGCGCTCTGGCGCTTCTGTGCGCGCTCGGCCTGGCCCAGCCCTGCGGCCCCGGCCGCACCCTGCGCGGCACGGGGACGGACGCGCGCTGCTGCCGCTCGTGCGCGCCGGGTGAGGCGGGGACCGCGGGGCCGGGAACAGGGGACACCCGGGTTTCCCGCGCGCGTGCGGCGCAGGGGCCTCTGCCCGGCGCTGAGTCTGCCTTACTCCTGCAGCCCAGGACGCCTGCCCCGAGCCGAACTGCACCTGTGCCACCCCGGAGTTCCACTGCGGGGACCCCGGCTGCAGCAGCTGCAAACATCACCCCTGTCCCCCTGGCCAGCGGGCGCAGCCTCACGGTGGGAGCCGGGAACGAGGGGAGGGGAGAGGGGCTTAATGCCAGGTCTGGCCAGCCCTGTGAGTGGCTTTGAGACCTCCTCCGCCTGCTCCAGCCCCGTCTCTGTCTGGTCTCCCGGCTCATAGGTGTCCCCACCCAGCCTCACGCCTGGCTCTGCCAGAAGCTGCCCTGGCATCTGGGCACTTCAGGAGGGCATGAAGGGCCCTGGGTGTGGGGCCTGGGGAAGGACCCTGGTGAGTGATGGGGTGTGGGGCTGGCACCAGCAGCTCCTTCCTGTGGGCCTTCTGGGTTAGACCTGGTGTTTTCAGACTCTGCTTCCCACCTCTGACCGCTCATTTACTCGGGGCCGACCTCATCCCTCTGACTCCAGGAAAATTCGTCTTTGACTTCGACTGTGTGGACTGTGAACCTGGACGCTTCTCCGGGGGCCGTGAGGGCCACTGCAGGCCATGGGCAGAGTGAGTCCGGGGGCCACCTCCAGGGCGGACCCCTTGACCCCCCCCCCAGTGGGGAGCCCTGTGGGCTGACCTGGCTGCAACCTGTACCTCAGCTGCTCCCAGTTGGGGTTCTCCACCGTGTTCCCGGGAAACAGGACCCACAACGCCGTGTGTGTCCCGGGGTTCCCGCCGGCTGCTGGGCGCAGCGGGTCGTCCGTGGCTCTCCTCGCTGTGGCTGCTTGCATCCTGGTCCTGGTTGGGGTCCAACTGAGCCTGCACCTCTGGCAGCTGAGGCGGCCCCATGTGTGGTTTCCAGGTCAGCTGAGCCTGGGGAGGGGGCAGGGGTTCCAGGACGGGGGTCTCAGCCTGCTGACCACAGCCCTCCGCAGGGAGCCCGCTGCTCCAGGACGCTGCTGCGGGCCGGGGGCCGCCCGCGGACGATTCCTGCAGCTGCCAGTTCCCCCAGGAGGAGCGGGGTGAGCAGCGGCCGGAGGACAAGGGGCGGCTGCAGAACCTGTGGGTGTGAGGCAGCCCGGGCCCTGCCTCTGGGGGGGAAAAGGGGGGAGAGCCACACAGCCCTCCCCCCAATAAACGCTGTCTGGTGCTTGAGTGCCGCCTCCCACCCTGGCTGGGCGTCTGCCTGTCCTGAGGACCCTGGGCTCTGCTTTGGGATCCCTCCAGTGGAGTGAGCTGCACTCCCCAGAGGGCAGACAGACCCCCAAGGGAGGCCGTAAGGACTTGCTGCTGGATGTGGCACAAGAGCCTGTGGAAACTTGTCTCGGCAGCGGCATGACTGGCACGTGCCACAGCCTTGCCTGTCGGCTCGCTGCCCAGGGCCCACCTCCCTCATCTGCCGTGGGGAAGGTGGGGTGGCCCCCGAATGCACCCAGGGTGTGCTCATGCCTGGGCCTGGAGGGCGGGGGCATCAGAGACAGGACAGCGGGAATGAATGCATGAACACCCGAGACGCCAGGCTGCTCTGGGCCTGCTGCACCCCCCGAGCCCGTGCCCATCCTGCCCATCCTGCCCATCACCAGTTCCCCAAGCACAGCTGGGTGTTTTCCCCCATGCCAGGTAGGGCTGGTGCCCGCTTGCCCCAGCTCCTTCCCACAGGCCAGGGCGGCCAGTGGGGGTGGGGTGCGTGCCCTTGAGTCAGCGAGGAAACTCCACTGGGATGTGGGTGTGTGTGGGGGTGCTGCTGGTGACGCAGTCACGGGCGGGCGGGGGATTCCGAGGCCGAGCGGGGGTGGGCGGGGGCTCTCTAGTGCAGGCTGGGAGGGTCTGTCCCAGGAGCCAGAGCCTCTGCTGCCAGCCCTGAGTCACGGCTCTGCATGGGAGGCTCAGGTACCCCCAGACAGGGTGAGGGGCCTGAGGAGGGGCAGGAGGGTCCCACCTCATCCCTGCCTTGCCGTGAGGTGTCTCAGGCAGGGTAGCCACCTTGAGCTGCCCCCTCCGTGCCCCGGAAAGCCCCATCTGTCCGGGAACTGCTCCAGGAACTCTGGAAACCACATCCCGTGCGGGGGCCGGAGACTGCTCAGCATAGATAAGCTATGAGGCCCACAGCCCTGCGGCCACACCCCCGCTGAGAAGCCTTATCTTGGCTGAGATCTGCCAGGGCAGAGCCCCACCTGTGAACCCCGGCACGCAGTCTGGGGGCAGGTGGACCCCGATGGCTGCTGCTGCTCCCCGGCATCAGAGTGCCTGGGCGCCAAGCCCGGCCACAGCGCCTGGCTCCTTTGAGTGTCCCCAGGCCTGTGCTGAGCCTGAGGGCAGAGAGGATCTGCTGGTGGGTGCTGGCTTCTTTCGATTCCCTGTGGCCCTCCACCCGCACCCCAGTGAAGAGCCGGGGCCTCCAGGACACACACTCGCACTGACACCCCACCCACACCCACACTGGTACAACACAGCATCCCAGCACATGCACGACTTTCCAGACGTCACTTATACAACACACTTGCTCACACTCACATTTGCATAACACATCGGCACACTCAGGTGGTACATGCAGGCACTCCCATGAACGCGCACTCTGATGCTCCCACAGTACACTCACACCCCACCCCACATGATACACACGCATATTCACAAAACCAGTGTCCTTGCACATGCACCCACATGATATGTGTACCCTCCCACACTCACAGGCACACCCACAGCACCCAAACTTGGCACTCACATACTCACGTTCACATATCCGGCACCCACAGACTCATCTTCACACACCTAGCACTCACATGCACACTCAAGGTCACACACATCTTGCTCACAGACTCACGTTCACCTGGTGCTCACACAGGCACATGCACATTCACACACTGTACACACCTGGCACTCCCACATTTGGACATGCTCATGTTCACATGCATGGCACTCACACACTCAGCATTCACAAATGCACACTCACGTGCACACACTCAGCATTCACACATGCACACTCACGTCCGCACATGTGGCACTCACTCGTCCATACACGCGGCACTACATACACACGCACATCCATATACCTGGCGCTCACACACTCACGTCCACAGACCTGGCGCTCACACACATGTCCACACACCTGGCACTAACACACGTCCACACACCTGATGCTCACACAAACACTCATATCTACACACCTGGCACTCACACACACGTCCACACACCTGTCACTTGCACTCACCCACGTCCACACACGCGGCACTCACACACACTCATGTCCACACACCCGGCACTCACACACACATATCCACACAGATGTTTACACACTCATGTTCACACACCTGGTGCTCACACACTCATCTTTCCAGGAAGTCTCAGGAAGTGAGGTGCTCCCAGGGGAGGCTCAAGGTGCTCCAGTCACTCTCCAGGAGACAGTTCCAGGGGAGAGGTCTGAGGCTGCTCTGCCCATCTCTTGGGCTCTACTGCTCTCTGGTGAGCTGTGGGCCTGTTGGCCAGAGGCCGTCTTCCCCTGATGGGCACTGCAGGAATGTAAGACGCCTGTTCTGAGCCCACATCTTCTGCAGAGATTCCACACTGCTCTAGATTCCCCCTCCCTGCAAGGCCCCATAGATATGGTCTGGGAGAAGGGGTGGAGGAGGGAAGGGTGGGGAGACAGGAGTATGGGAGAGGGGAGGAGAGCAGGTGGGAGTTTACCTCAGCACTTAGGGGCCCACCTCTGTGGGGTCACAGACTCCCTCAGTGATGAGCAGCTCCCAGGCAGCCTCGGGGACCCTACTCTGCCCTGTGGTGAGGCTGACAGGGGTTTTAGTAGATTTTGGGTTTGGGAGCCACACCTGGAAGTTCTTAGGGGTCAATTCTGGCAGTGCTCAGTGGCCATATGCAGTGCTAGACTGAACAGTGCTGGTCACATGCAAAGCAAGTATCACTTGTCCCCTGTACTCTTTGGTCCATGGCAAGGGTCTTGGTCACCTATTCTCTGCCTGCTATTCAGATACACTTTGAATCTCCAGATGTACAGGTGTCCAGATACTCCAGGTGCCTGGTACTGCAGGTGCCCAGCTAATCCAGGTGCCTGGTACTGCAGGAGCACAGCTGTTCAAGGTGCTCAGATACTCCAGGTGCCTGGTATTGCACGTGCCCAGCTACTTCAGGTGCCCAGCTACTCCAGGTGCCTAGTACTGCAGGTGCCCAGCTACACCAGGTCCTGGTACTGCAGGCGCCAAGCTTCTCCAGATGCCCAGCTACTCCAAGTGCCCAGCTACTGCAGGTGCCTGGTACTGCAGGTGCCGAGCTACTCCAGGTGCCCAGCTACTCCAAATACCTAGCTGCTCCAGGTGCCCGGTACTGCAGGTGCCGAGCTACTCCAGGTGCTCAGCACTCCAAATACCCAGCTGCTCCAGGTGCCCGGTACTGCAGGTGCCGAGCTACTCCAGGTGCTCAGCTACTCCAAATACCCAGCTGCTCCAGGTGCCCGGTACTGCAGGTGCCCAGCTAATCCAGGTGCCTGGTACTGCAGGAACACAGCTGTTCAAGGTGCCCATATACTCCAAGTGCCTGGTATTGCACGTGCCCAGCTACTTTAGGTACCCAGCTATTCCAGGTGCCTGGTACTGCAGGTGCCCAGCCTCTCCAGGGTGCCTGGTACTGCAGGTACCCAGTTTCTCTAGATGTCCAGCTACTCCAGTTGCTAGCTGCTCCAGGTGCCTGGTGCTGCAGGTGCCCAGTTTCTCCAGATGCCCAGCTACTCCAGGTGACTGGTACTGCAGGTGCCGAGCTACTCCAGGTGCCCAGCTACTCCAAATACCCAGCTGCTCCAGGTGCCCGGTACTACAGCTGCCCAGCTACTTCAGGTGCCCGGTACTGCAGGTGCCAGCTACTCCAGGTGCCCAGCTACTCCAGGTGCCTGGTACTGCAGGTGCCCAGTTACTCCAGGTGCCCAGTTACTCCAGATGCCAGTTACTTCAGGGGCCTGGTGCTGCAGGTGCCCAGCTACTCCAGGTGCCTGGTACTCCAGGTACCCAGATACTCCAGGTGCCAGCTACTTCAGGTGCCAGCACTCCAGGTGTCTAGCTTCTCCTGGTGTCCACCTACTCCAGGAGCCTGGTATGGCAGATGCCCATCTTCTCCAGAAGCCCAGCTACTCCAGGTGCCTGGTACTGCAGGTGTCCAACTACTCCAGGTGCCCAGCTACTCCAGGTGCCTAGTACTGCAGGTGCCCAGCTACTCCAGCTGCCCAGCTTCTCCAGGTGCCTAGTACTGCAGGTGCCCAGCTTCTCCAGGTGCCCAGCTACTCCAGATGCCTGATACTGCAGGTGCCAGCTACTCCAGGTGCCAGCTACTCCAGGTGCCCAGCTACTCCAGGTACCCAGCTACTCCAGGTGCCTGATACTGCAGGTGCCAGCTACTCCAGGTGCCAGCTACTCCAGGTGCCCAGCTACTCCAGGTGCCCAGCTACTCCAGGTGCTTGGTACTGCAGGTACCGAGCTTCTCCAGATGCCCAGCTACTCCAGGTGCCTGGTACTGCAGGTGCCCAGCTACTCCAGGTGCCTGGTACTGCAGGTGCTCAGCTACTCCAGGTGCTCAGCTACTCCAAATGCCCAGCTATTCCAGGTGCCCAGCTTCTCCAAATTCCCAGCTATTCCAGGTGCCAGGTACTGCAGGTGCCCAGCTACTCCAGGTGCCCCTGGGACTTTGGATGCTTAGGGACCCAAGAGCTCACCATCCATACTGTCTCTAACTTTCCTCCCTTCTGTGGTCTGGTGGTTCTGATGGGACAATCTGAGCCCAGATGTAGCCCTGGGGCAGGGCAGAGGTGCATGAACAGTCATTCTGAGAAAGGGTCTTTATTGACACTCAGCAGCTCAGATCAGGGCTGTCAGGCCACCTCCCACCTGCCCTTCTTCTGAGTCATTTTGGCACAGGCCAGTCCTCGGGGATGCATGCAGGCAGTGTTGCAGCTGGGGGGTGGGCTGACTGCCAGGCCCGCTGGGAAACACCTGGACACGCCAACCCCCTCAGTGCTGAGCCAGGCACTGAGTGAAAAGCTGGTCTGTCATCTGTGGAGCCCGCAGATGTAGGGTAGAGCCGTAGGCTAGCCATTCACCAAGGGCCTGACCCAGTGAAGGGATGGTGGTGGGACCTGGGTCACACTGGGTGGGTGTGGGTCACTGGGGGGATGGGGGATGGGGGGTGCGACTGGCCTTTGTGGAGTTCTGGGACAGAGAGAGGCCCCCAAATGCCCTCAAGCTGTCGTGCAGGTCCATGGGGGAGTCAGGGCCACGGGGATCTACTGGCAGGGAGGGGTCCTCCCGCCTTCCCCTGTGGCCCATCTCCGGCATCACTTGGAAAGTGCAGGGCCCTGTGGAGGTGACGGGGCCCCAAGGCATCCTTCATCCCTCGTCTGGGAGTTACCAGGTGGACGCTGAAGCACCACAGTCACTAGGTGGGGACCATGTGGGCAGGGGCACGAAGGCTGGGGTGATGGGGAGACCCCGGAAAGAGGAGGCACACAGAGAGGGGTAGAGGAGGGGCTGGGGTCCCTCTCCCAGGCACGCCTGAGCCGGCCCACTTCTGGTACCCTCTCTTGGCCCAGGACAGGCCCCTGCAGTGGGAGCAGTGGGCGGGGCACCCGGGGTCCTGGCCGGGAGTTGGGGGTGCGGTGTGCAGGAGTCCGCGTTCGTACCAAATTAGCTTTTATAGGCACAGGTGCACTGCTAAGAGCCTCGATGATCTGCCCTCGATGATTCTGACCCCGCAGACCTTGGGGACAGCTCCGGCACCCCGTCCTCACCGCAATCGGGTGACTGCTCGCACTCACGGCCAGGCATGAGGTCAGGGCTGGGGACGGGCGACAGGGGACGCCGGGGGGGCGCCAGCCTGCGCCTGACCAGCCTATCAGGGTCAGAGGTGCAGAGCAAGGGGGGCACAAAGTTGGGCAGCAGGCGAGGGACCCCGTGAGACCCCCACAGGCGTGGCCACAGGTCCATCTCACCGTTGTGCAGGAGCACAAAGTGGCGCTGTGACAAAAGTGGCCGCATCCTCTGGCTATGCAAGCTCTTCTGGAAGGTCTCCAGCGCCAGGTCTTGGGGAGAGGGGGTAGAGGAGATTAGTGGGGAAAAGGGGGGATGGGCAGTGGGCAGTCTGAGCTGCAGTGAATCTGGGTGGGTGGGAAGGCCCCAGGGAGGTGGCGGCTGCCTCTTTCCCCCTTTCTGCAGGACAAGGATAGGGGTTCTTGGGATGTCGGTGGGGGGAGCGCAGGGAGCCTCTCACCTAGGGTCTCCATGACCACTGTGGGGATCACGTTCTTCAGGACTTCACAGTTGGTGTGCAGCGCCGGGTTTGAATTCATCTCCAGCAGCCACACCTGTGCCAGACGCAGCTCAGTGATCCTCGCCGGCCCTGGCCAGTGGGAAGCTGGGTCCTCTGGGCAGACTGGCCCTGGGCAGGCTGTGTTTTCTGTGGCCTCAGAGCATAAGATCCCATGGGTCTGTCTTGGGGGTGCCCCCACGGCAGGAGTCACACAGCCCTCTGGACACATTCCCCCCGCCCCCCGGGAATGGACACAGAGGCCCTCTAGGGTACTGTCTGGTGGGCCAGGGTGGGCCCAGAGAGCCCTGCCTCCTACCCTGCCCCGAGGCTCCACCCACCCCAGGCTTCCATAGCACCTTGAAGTTCTCATCGATCAGAAAGTCACAGCCGATGAGGTCAAAGTAGCCGAGTTTGCACTCCAGCTTGGATCTGACGGCCAGGAAGCAGTGCACCATGATCTGCTGCATCCGCCTCTGTGGGGACACAGGCTGCTTCTGGAGGCCCCATCCACCTCCCAGGCCCGGTGACCACAGCCACACCCTCTCCTGCTCTGTCTGGGAGTCTCGGCAGAGACACCCGCTCACATGTCACAGGGAGTCAGCGTCCAGCAGCAGAACCATTCATGCTTCACACATCAGGCCCCCTCATGGAGAGTGAGTGCTGGCAAAGAACTCTTGAGGAGTAGCGGGCTCGGAGCCAGACAGACACTCGAAGTGACGGGGAGCTCAGTCTCTAGGCAGCCCGCACAGGCTTTCAATGGAGAAAGCGAGGCAGAAAAAAGACATGGGGTGTGGGGTGGGCGAAATGTCAAGGGAAGAGCACCCGAGGGGCTTGGGGAATGGGCAGCAGCTGGGGTGAGATGGGGCTGAGACAGAGGGGACAGCAGGGTTGGGGCAGCGCTGAGGGGACAAGCAACCTTGTTGAAATGAGGGTGCTCCTCTACAGCTGCTCTGGCTGAATCGGTCATGGTGGCACTCTGACACCTGTCCTGCTAGCATCATCTGGGCACAGTATTGGCAGTTTGAAGGGCTGGGGGAAGCCATCAGCTGTCAGGAAGTCTGGATTGGATTGGGTAGGTAGCAGGAGGAGTGTGGAGTCGACTTGGTTTGGTTTGGGGCCACACCCTGTGGTGCTCGGGGGACCACACACCCCATACCCTGTATGGGGTGCTGGGGATCAAACCAGGGTCGGCCCAGTGCAAGGCAAGACCTGCCTGCTGTCCTATTTCTCTGGCCCTTGGATGTTTGTTTTTCCAGGTAGAGTCAACCTGACTGGCTGATGGAAGGGTGGAACTGTGAGCCGCAGAGTGAAGGGTGACCTCTTGGTGTGGTGAGACTCTAGAAGGACGGAAACCTCATCATCTGAGAAGGGGAAAGGTCTACAGTGTAATGGATGAGCTTGCTGAATGTATGTGCTTGTGTCTAGTGAGAGTATGAGGGAGAGTCTGTGAGTGCACACGTGTATGTAGGCTTGTGTGAATTTATAGGTATGAGCGTGTGTATGCATTCAGAGGCTTATGTGCACATGTGTGAAAGATTATTTGAAAGTGGTTGTGAGCTGAGCCTGTGTGTGTGAAAACATATGTGAGAGTGTGTATGTGTACGTATGAAATTGTGAGCATAGGAGCACGAGTATGAGTGCATGAGTGAGCTTATGAATATTGTGGGGAGTGTGTCAATGCGTGAGTGTGTGAGCATGTTGTGAGTGTGAGACTGTACAAATAATATGAGCATGTATGAATATGTGGGGGCCACGTGATATTATTCGTACAGGCTTGAGTTGAGGGAGATGGTCAGCACGGGCCAGTGACGTGGAATCTTGAGCACACAGCTGGAAATAGGAACCAGGAGAGGCTCCTGTCCACAGCCGTGGAGCACTGCTGGGCCTGAGTACCTCACCAGTGGCCCAAGCACTGAACCTTCAGTCTCAACAGCTGGACCAAGTCTCACCAGGAGTGTGCTATGACCTCCTGATGTTGCATGGGAACCACCCAAAGGAAATTAGAAAACAAAAGTCAAAGCAAGTAGAAGGAAGGAACATGTGTAATGGAGTGGATATAAATGGAGTACTAAAGGGAAAATAATAGAGAAAATCCATGAAACAAAGACTGGTTGGTTAAAGGGTTCTATAACCTTTAGCTTGTCACCTGAATAGTGAAGTAAAATCAAGTTAATAATTAGGGGCACAGAGATAGTTGAACAGATTGTGTGTCCATTGCATGCAGAGGGCTGATTTGACCTCAGCATTGCAAGGTCCCCAGAACTACTGGGAGTGACCGCCCAAAATAAAACAACATAAAATAATGACAATCAAAATTCCCACAAAGAAACATCCAGAATCTTCACTGGTGAATTCTTGCAAACATTTAAATAAATTATTGTTTCACACACTCTTCAAAAATGAAGGGGAAGCGGGAGCATGTCCCAAGCCAGACAGAGACAAGAATGTTGTAGATGAACACAGCCTCTGCATGTTGACACAGAACCCTTGGCAAACCCAACTCAACAACATGTTTAAAGAAAGCATCAGAGCCACATCTGAGTGGGACTTAGCCCAGAAAACAGGTGTGAGCACTGAGTCGGTGCACTCCAGCACCTCCACAGGATGAAGCAGTCTGTGGTCTGAACAGCGTCCTGCTGTCCAGACACGTACGGGAGGACTTGGGCCAGAACAAACCCACATCGACCTGAGTGATTTTTTTCTTTTTATTTCTTGGACCACACATAGCAGTGACTGGGGACTACTTCTGACACTGTGCTCAGGTTTACTCCTGGCAGTGATTGGGGATCATGTGGGGATAGGTATCGAATCAGATCAGGGTTGATTGCAAGCAAGGCAAGTACCTTAACCCCGGTACTCTCTCTCCCTGCCCTCGATGTAATGATTTTCAACAATGTGCCAATAGAATTCTCTCTGATAAATGGTTTTAAGACAATGGGATGTCTATGTGTAAAAGAAGTGGGACTTCTACCTTATACCCCAGGCACAAAAACTCACAGTGGACCAGAGGCCCCACAACTTAGAGGAAAGCATTGGCATTTGTCTACAGATTCTGAGGCATGATCTCTAAGGCATGAATAAAATTAGGTAGGATGATTGTCACAAAAATGAAGAAATTCTGTACAAAATACGAAATTACCAAAAAGGGAGAAACCAAGACCCAGAATGGGAGAAAGTCTTTGCAAATCACATTGTCTGCTAAGGTCCAGTATCCAGAGTAGAAAGAGCTTTTGGCCTAACAAAGGACACTAACAAAGGGTTTGCATCGACAGTTCTCCGAACAAGATCCAGATGTACAAGTCCTCAGAACTTCCTATGGAACATTGAGCCTATTGGCCAAGAATTGCTTTGAGGGTCTCCCACACCCACCCTCATAGAAAAATCACATGAGGGAGCACCTCACACTCACTGGCTGCTACCATTAGGAAGAACCTGTGCTCACAGACAGACCCGTGGGGAGACCCTCAGGACAGCAGACAGTCGTGGCACAGGCCTGCCCTCAAATTCCCAGGAAGGTACCCAAGAAAACAGAGGGCACACCTCCCTGAGGAGGACGTGCTCAGCTCCCAGAAGTACCACCCAGACAGTGAGACCCCCACGGGCTGTCCCTGCCGCGGCCACCCAGAGTCCGTCCACCAATCACAGCCAGCCAGCTCCCCCCCACTTGCCCTTCACTGTAGCTGTGGAGCCCAGACTGGGTGCTGTGGGAGAGTAAAGTGCTGAGTTTGAACTCAGGACCCCACAGCTACAACACATATGCCAAACGAAGGTGAGCCAAGTCCTTGGCCTATAGGGTTTGACTTTAAAAATGGTGGATTTGGGACTGCAGAGATAGGACGGGGGTCTAAGACGCCCACTTTGGACACGGCCGAGCAGTTTCTTCCTCAGCCGAGAGGAGGAGGGGCATTGCATCAGCTGGTGGTGCCCACAGGCCATGCACACGTGCACACCCTAAGGCAGAATCCCCAGGGCTCTAAACCACCCCTCCACCCAGGATCGAAGCCTCCGCGCACCGTGAAAGTGGTGAAGACCCAGTCTCTGGGGAGGCCCTTGGCTTTGCGGAACTTGTCATTGATGTAGCGGTTGAGGTGCTCCATGCTCCATACTGTTTCCTCTTTGAACATCATGTAGAGGGGGCTCTTCTTCTGCATGAACTGGGGGCACAGCAGTGCTTGAGACCCTGCTCCCAGACCCCTGCCACCCCACATGCACCCCCACCTACCACATCTCCCGAAGATTCCCACTGGGCCCCTACTCGCCCCCTTAAGAGTGTTCTGTGGTGGGCTCCAGTTCTTCCTGCTGACCACCTTCATTCCTGCCCCCTCCTCCTGGCTGGAGCTGAGCTGTGCTGTCCACAGACAGCCTGGCCAGTTCTGTGATACAGCTACTTCTGGGTAGAATGACTTTATTGGAGGGTGAGGGGGGCATCCTCCACGTAAAGAAAAAATGGACTTCTCCAGAGAGACTAAAAAGAAAACAGTCGGGGCTGGAATGATAGCACAGCTGGTAAGGCGTTTGTCTTGCATGCGGCCGACCCGGGTTCGATTCCCAGCATCTTGTATGGTCCCCCGAGCACCACCAGAAGTAATTCCTGAGTGAAGAGCCAAGAGTAACCACTGTGCATTGCCGGGTGTGACCCAAAAAGCAAAAAAATATAATAAATAATTTTTAAAAATGGGCTGGAGCGATAGCACAGTGGGTAGGGCATTTGCCTTGCACACAGCCGACATGGCCGACCCAAGTTCGATTCCTCTGCCCCTCTCGGAGAGCTACTACCAAGATACTACCGAGAGTATCTCATCCGCACGGCAAAGCCTGGCAAGCTACCCGTGACGTATTCGATATGCCAAACACAGTAACAAGTCTCACAATGTTACAGAGCCCGCTTGAGCAAATCGATGAACAATAGGAGGACAGTGACAGTGAATAAAAAAATAAATAAAAAGGAAACAGTCTTGAAGTCTAAAGACGTGACTACAAGGTAAAAGAGGAACAAGGATGCCCCAAGGTGGTGGTTCAGCAGATTGCAACCTGATGGGGTTTTTTTTGTTTGTTTGTTTGGTTTTTTTTGGTTATACCTGGCCATGCTCAGGGCTTACTCCTGACTCTGTGCTCAGGGATCACTTCTGGTGGGCTCTGGGCTCAGGGATGCCTATGTGATGTCAGGAATCAAACCAGGGTCAGTCGTATATGAAACAAACACCCTACCTGCTGTACTACTGCTCCAGTCCCTGCTCTGGGTTCTTGTGGAGCGAGAAATTCAGTGTACCAGTATAGGTCTTTTTTTTTTTTTGCTTCTGTTTTTGTGCCACACGTGGTAATGTTCAGGGCTTACTCCTGGCTCTGTGCTCAGATATCACTTCTGGAGGTGCTCGGGGACCATATGGGATGCTGGGGATTGAACCAGGGCTGGCCTAGTGCAAGGCCTTATCCACTGTGCCCTCTCTGGCCCGTGTTCTGGCTCAGAAGCAGGGGATAAGGAGCCCTTGGAAGAAGTGACCTGAGCTTATTTACCTTGCTGAATCCCACCCTGTTCTTTCTGTTGGTTGGTTACACCCTAAGAGGTCATTCCATTGGAGCAACCAACCTAGTTGCACATAGGTGATTGTGGAACAACCAGATTTGTAGATGTCTTATATGGGCACATGCGATGAGGCCATCAGCCCTTATGCAAAAGAAGTCAGTGATGGAACCAATCAGGCTGGCCATGCAAATCAGAAGCTGTGGCATTATCTCCAGCATACCCATCGTCCTTCCCTCTCTGGTCTCTCCCTGCTCACTTCCTGCTGGGGCCCGGGAGGCCAGAGCCCTGGTGCACCGCATGTGCTCCAGAGCAGGTGTCTGTCCCTTACCTGGTTGGTCAAGTGGCCGCTGAGGTCTCTGGAATGGGGGTCATAAAGATTGAGTGTGAGCCGAGCATAGCCGTGGCCGAAGAAGATCATGTAGGGTACTGTGCAGGCAATGAGCAGGTAGGAGCGCACGTCAAACTTCTTTCCGTCCAGCAGCAGCGGGTTCTGGATGTACCTGGGGACACAGGGGCACCTCAGCAGCCTGGCCACCTGGGCTAGGTGCGCACAGGACCCTCTGCAAAGAGGATGTCTCCAAGCCAAGGCAGCTCAGGGACCAGGAGAGTCCTGTGCTGTGATTCCAGACCTCGATGCACGTCGGGGTGCCCTAGGGTGCAGCTGTATGGGGGTCTGGGCAGGTGGAGCCTTGTTGGAGGGTCTGCCTGCAAGAAAGGGGTGACGTGGGGACGCCTGAAGCGGAAGGGGGACAGGACAGCTCAGGAGGAGGGGACTGAGGCAGCAGCATGGGCAACAACAAGAAGTGCTGGGTGGGGTGGCAGAATGAGAGTACAGCCCCCATTTTTGAGGGTGGTTTGCCTCTCCGTTCCCCACATGAATCTGAGGGTCCGGTCTTGCGCAGAGCCGGGCAGGACTAGGGAGTGCCCTTCTCTGGCCTGCAGCCCTAAAGGCTGACCTGGCTGGGTGAGACTGGTCTTCCATAAGGGCAGTGCAGGGCCCAGGCGTAAGGGACAAAAAGACGAAATCCCATGTCCAGGAACCCTGACGGCAGCCCTCCTGCCCTGTGACCCAGCACACCCATGACCCCTACCCGTGCCCACACCCGCACCCAGCTGGGCACACAGGCCCAGTGGACAGCTCTGAGCTTTCCATGGCTGAGGGCTTTCTCTAGGCCCTGTGGCCCCATGAGCCCAGACAACATGGGGTCCAGGGTCCGCTGTGTTCTGAGGGTCTCTGCGGCCTAGCACCTCTGCACCACTCGAGCCTGTGGCATTCGGACCGGCATCTTGCGGAAAACGGGGTCCTCCTCAGCGCTCTGGATCTTGGCCTGCAGGGCTGCGATCTCCTCCTGGCTCCTGAGCAGGAAGATGCCTTTGCCTTGGTTGGAGGCCGTGGGCTTACAGATCCACATCTGGGTGTCTGCCGGGAGAGTGGCCTGAGCCCAAGACCTGGCCCAGCCTGAGTCCGGACCTCAGTCCTGGCCCCGCCCTCCTTGCCCTGGCTCCGCCCCACCAGTCCATACCGAACCCCTGGTCACGGCCTCCCAGCCCTGGCACCGCCCTCCCATCCCTGCCCCACCCGACCAGTCCTTACCCACACCCCTGGCCACGCCCTACCAAGCCCTGGACACACCCTCCTAGCTCTGGCCCCGCCCCACCAATCCTCACCCACCCCCCTGGCCCACCCTCCCAGTCCTGCCCTACCCATCAGTCCTTACTCACACCCCTGGCCACGCCCTCCCAGCCCTGGCCCTGCCCTCTCAGCCCTGGCTCCACCCCACCAGTTTTTACCCATACCCCTGGCCATGTCCTCCCAGCCCTGGCCCTGCCCTCCCAGCCCTGGCCCTACCCCACCAGTCCTTACCCACACCCCCTGGCCACGCCCTCCCAGCCCTGCCCCACCCCACCAGTACTTACTCACACCCCTGGCCTCGCCCTCCCAAGCCTGGCCCCGCCCTCCCGGCCCTGGCCCCACCCCACCAGTCCTTACCCACACCCCTGGCCACGCCCTCCCAGCCCTGGTCACGCCCTCCCAGCCCTGCCCCATCCCGCCAGTACTTACCCACACCCCTGATCACGCCCTCCCAGCCCTGGCCACGCCCCACCAGTCCTTACCCACACCCCTGGCCACACCCTCCCAGCCCTGGCCCCACCCCACCAGTCCTTACCCACACCCCTGGCCACACCCTCCCACCCCTGGCCACGCCCTTCCAACTCTGGCCACTCCCTCCCAGTCCTGAACTCGCTGTCCTTTTTCTCTTTTGTGGGGAGGCCTCCTCAGCAGCACTCGCAGAGAGGCCGGTGGGGGAGCACTCCCTGCAGTATTATTGAGATCAGAGATTTGGTGCGACAGATTGGGGGCTGCCAGGGTCCCATGCCATGCTGGGGATCAAACTCAGGGCTTAGCGAATGCAAGGTGCCTCCAATTCCTTTTGAACAACCACCTCTCCTCACGCTGACCACACGCCTCCCAGTCCATGGCCATTTCCTCCAGAGCTTACCCTCCCAGCCCTGACTATGCCCCTCGTACTCATGACCCCCTTCCAGTTATGGTCACGCCCTGCAGATCTGGGCCACGCGCAGTGTGGCTCAGACTAAGGGAGTCCCCTGCTGAGTCCCGACTGTACCTGTCCTGGCCACACCACCTGAGCTGGCCACCTTCCCCCCACCTTGGCACCATCAGCAACCTTCTGAGGCCTCTCACCATCAAACAGGGTGAAGAAGGCCTCTCTTTCCTCCTTGATGTCCAGGCGATAGGTTTCTGGGAAGAAGTCCTCCATTCTCAAGACCCTAGGGAGAGGCATCGGGGAGGTGAGGGCGGGCCCTGCCGCCCCAGGTCTAGCTGGCCTCTCTAGGCCAGGCTTGGGGTCAGGGCAGAGTCAGCAGAACCCAGGAGGCATGCGTCATGCCAGGTCTGGGGCATCTTGGCACAGTAGGCCATGTTGCCCCCTCCCACCAGCATGTCTCTACACCAAGCAACTCCAGAGCACCTGTGCAATGCCCATCTCCGAGCTGGGTGACCTTCCACCAGGCTTCAGCAGAGGCCCCTGGGCTGTGTGTTATCTACCTGAGTGAGCCTGCATAGCTCCTCCATGGGCGAGGACACATCCCTTCTAGAGCTGGGGAGACGCGTGACCAGGGGACAAGGAGGGTGGACAGTGGGAAGATGGTGGGTCTGTGACAGCAGCAGGTGGGGTGGGGCAGGAGCCAGTGGGTGGCCGCTGTCTAAAGCACTGAGTGGTCAGCTGGAGCGGGGGTTGTGGGGGCAGCAGCAGGTATGCAGTGGCGGCCAGCCTGAGCAGGCAGCGCACCTGGACTGGGTGCCAGGGGGCGTCTTGTTGTTACGTGAGTACTCCCGGAGCACGCTGAGAAGCCCGATCTTGGTGGTCAGGAGCTTGTTGTTGGGCAGCTGATAGAGTAGCTGCTTGCCTGCGGGGGAAGAGCCCGGGCGGATGTGGCGGCCAAGGGCCAGCGCCTGGTCAGCACCGGTGCCCTGCACACCTACCTTCCCGAAAGCTGCAGTAGTTGGCCCTGCTCTTGACCTCACACCACTTGAGCGTGTAGTCCTCACGGCGGCTGTCCTGCGTGCGCCGCCAGCCCTTGCCCTTGCAGTAGGAGTTGATTCTGCAGGTGGGGACGGCGGTGACCGGGGGCGGGGGGGGTGGCCAGGGAGGAACCTGGGCCAGGTGGGGGCACTCACATTGCTGCTCCGTTGCTGCCTCCGATGTAGAAGAAGGGGCCCTGTTCTGGGCGGGGCAGCGACTTCTCCTCTGTGGGCACCTGCCCGTCTAGAAGGGTGGCTGGAGGCTCGGCAGCTTCGGTGTTGTCTGGGGCGTCTGTGGGGAGCGGTGGTCAACGGCGGCAGCTGGCAGAGGCTCCTGCCTCCCGCGGCCCGTCCAGCACCACCTGCATCATGCTCCAGCGGCCTCAGCTGGTGCAGAGGCTCTTCACTGCTGCTCCCCATCGACTTCTCATGGGCCCCAGCTGAGGGCAGGCAGATGGGTGCTGGTCAGTAGCCAGGAGCACCTCCCTGGCAGCCAGAGAGCCAGGGGCAGGCGCCCGCTTACCAGCCCAGCGGGAGCTCCTTGCAGGGAGGGTCCGGGGAGGCTGTGGCTGGGGGCAGGCATGGTAGGGGGGCTGCCCTAAAGGGCAGGGTCACAATGTCCATCGTGACCTCATAGGCGACCCCGCAGCCGTGCTTGCAGGACGGAGCGCTGGGGCTGCCGCATGTCAGGACCCACCCCTGCAGGCCTTGCCCAGGGCCCGCCCTGGCTGTCCCTGATGCCCTGGACAGGCTGGGAGGAGCCACCCAGGGCAGTGTGTATTCACCTGGTGCCCGGGGAAGGCCCCCGATGACCCTGGGCCTCTTGTTTTTCTCTGGTCCAACCTGGGCCCGAGTAGGTGGGTCCTGGCAGCAGCGGATAAAGTGGGAGCGGACACTAGTGGTGGGTGTGGGGGCACTGGGGTGGGGGCAGCCCTGGGAAGATGCTGCCCTGGCCCCTCGGTGGGTCCTCCGGGGGGACCGAGGTCCCAGCCCTTGGCCCACACACATGCTCAGACCTGCCCTGACCATCAGGGGCCTCGAGTGAGGGGACAAGACTTGAGCATCTGTTGGTGAAGGCCTCCGGCTTCCTGGGCAGCTGTGGGACCTGGCGCCTCGGGGGGCTGGTGGCCGGGCTGCATCCTGTGTGTCCTGGACCCGGGCCCGCTCACGGGGTCTGTCTCTCTGGCGGCAGCGGAGTCTGCGGCGGTGGCGGCGGCGGCCTGCGTGGCACTGCCTGGGGCCTCGGCGGCGCCGGCTGCAAGGAGGCTGTGGTCACTAGCCCTGGTGGGCGGGGCCCTGGGGTCTGGGTTGGGAGAAACTTCAGAGAAGTTTCTAGTTTGGGGACTGCTTCGTGGTGGTGGTGGGGATCATTTTATGGAGATTCAAGAAAACAAGCCACTGACAGGAAGGCTGAGTCAGGGTGCTACAGCACTCCTGCAGCCCGAGTACCCCGAGATACATGTAGAGCAAGCCGCGAGGGCAGCAAGGGGATCAGGCAGTAGGGGTGAGCAGCGGAGCTGCCCCTTCTCTGCGTCCCTGAGTTAGGCCAGGGAGCACGGATGAGAGGGACACCGGCTCTTCCTGGCCCTGTCCACTCCCATGACCAGCAGCAGGGCACAGGAGCCTGCCACATCCTGCCACACCTCCCACCTGCCAGGGACAGAGAATGCAGCAGCCCCGGCAAGCTGGAGTGAGGCGAGAGGCTCCAGCAATCCAAGGGGAAGAGCATGACACTCACAGACACAGACACAGACACACACACAGACAAGCACAGAGACACACAGACATACACAAACAGAGACACAGAGACACGCACACAGACACACAGATACACAGAGACACACACAGAGACACACACAGACACACAGACACTCACAGACACACACAGACACACAGATAATCACACAGACACATAGACCCACAGACACACAGACACTTACACACTCACACAAACACAGACACACACAGATCCAGACTCACATGGATATATCTAGTCACATGCGCACAGAGAGGCACACAGAGAGACACACAGATTCATACACATACCTACATAGATCCGGATTCATCAGATATATCCAGTCACATGTACACACGCACACAGACGCACACGCACGTACGTGTATAAACCCAGAGCCATACATTCATTCACCTGTATTGCACAGACACACATGCATGCATGTATGTTCAGTACATGCTCACAGACGTTCCCAGACACACACACACACACACACACACACACACACACACACACACGACCAGAGGGACCAAGGACAGGCTGGGCTGAGACTGGGGTGGGGCACACACAGCCAAGGCCCGACAGCCCCAGGAGTCACCATGCAGCTGTGGGCGGGTGGTGCTGGCAGGGACATGGGTGGGGAGCACGATGCTCTGTGTGAGTGTGGGGTCTCACCGAGACCCATGTGCGGGATGCCCGGGCTCCGGGTCAGATACCACCTTCCTCCCACAATACTGAAATCACACAAGTGGTCGAGGGGTTGTGGGGGGCGTCTGGTCCAGTGGGGGCAAAGCTTTGCACCCAGGGGTGGTCTTGGCCAGGGTGGCTCTGAGGTGCAGGGCATGACTTAGGACCGCAGGCCAGCTGGAGGGGCACAGGGCACTGGCTTTGTCAGGATTCTAAAACCGACTTGTTACCTGCTCAGGTAAAAGGGACGGCAGGTTGCGGCGCCCCGGCCAGATGAACCGAAGGCCCCCGGGCACCTGAGGAGAAGGCCCAGAGAAGGAGAGGTCAGTCTCGGCCGGCCGCCTGCGGGGAGCCCACGGGGCTGGGGTGCTGACATTGTGCGTCCAGGGCACGGAGGGTTCACGCAGGTCTCGGAAGGCTGCCTGGCTGGGGAGGAGGCCCCGGGCCTGGGCGGAGGAGCTCGTCCAGGGGGCCTGCGTGGGGCAGGGCGGCCCCCCTTCCCTGCCTGGCCTGAAGGCAGGGGGTGGGCCTTTCCCTGGGACTCTGGGGACTCTGCACACAGGTCGCTCTGCCTAGCCATATCCCGCCTCCCCCTGGCCTCTCCCTTCTCGGAATCTGGAGGGGACCCCCAGGGCCTCTGGGGGCAGGGAGCGGGCTCCAGACTGCAGACTCCAGCCCTCAGCCCGAGGGACCCTCTGGCCTGGCCTGCCACTCCCCTCACCTGCTCTCCAGCCTCAGGCCTGCCCTGCCCGGGAAACAACAGTGGGACCTGGAAACTGTCTCCCGGCAACCTGGGCCCAGGGGCCAGAGGTCAGCCCGGCTTGGGCATCGAGCTGGGGAGGGCCAGGCGGGCCAGGCGGGGCTGGGATGCGTCAGCTCTGCCTGAGAATGAGGCAGTGTCCAGGCAAGTGTGGGGCTGGTCCCCAGGGAGGGGCGGCTGGGGCAAGAGAGGGGTCCCCGTAGGGAGGGGATGCGGGCAGCTCTGCCCGGGTCCGTGAGCTCACAGGACTTCCCAGGCCTCTCTCCACTCTGGGACCCAGCTGGAGGCCCCCAAGGTGGTGCCAGGATGGGCAGCACCCTCCACTCTGACCCTGCGGAGGTGGTACCGCAGTGGGATGGGGTCCCAGAACCTCAGTGGGCTGCCGAGCTTGGAGCTCTGGTGCTGGCCCCACCTGCCCTGGACAGTCCCCTGGTGCTGGCACTGAAGGCTGTGGTGCCAGATGGCTGGCATCCGGCCCGCGGGGAGTGCAGGGGGCAGGAGATCCCACTGGAAGCAGGTGGGAAGGCAGAGGGCCCTAGCCACACGTGGGTGTCCCCGGCTCTGGGGCAAGTTTCTGCACCAGTCACCCAGACCCACGCCAGGCAGTGTCCCCGTGGCCGAAGGCCTCTTCTTGGCTCCCACACAGGGGCTCAGTCCCTACCCATCCTCTGCACAGGCCATGTCTCCTGCAGGTGTCCCTCAGAAAGGATGACAGGGAAGGGGGTACAGGGCCGGACCCCTCCCACCAACCTGGGGAGGAGTGAGGGGGGCCCCGGGGTCCTGGGGGAGCCCTGGAGCAGTGAGGGGCTGTTCTTGTCACTTTACAGAACCTGGACTGGAACCTGCAGGGAAGGAAGAGGCTTTGTGGGAGGCAGGAGCAGGTGGGATCAGGTGCAGAACTTTGGGGGCAGCTTCCAACAAGGACAGTGAGTGGACGGGGCTGCCGGGACACCAGTCAGGCCCACACTGGGCTGTGTGTCCCCCGGTCCCTGGCCATGGACCTGGGGCATGGGGAGCAGATAGTCCCTGGAAGGAGGAAGGGGCTGCCCGTGTCCTGTGCTCGGGGCCCTGTTGGTGTGGTGCAGGTGGGATGGTCCCAAGCCGGGCCGGCAGTGCAGGTGACACCTTCATGACACTGATTTTCCTTTAAGCCGAGTCAGAACATTTACTGCAGTCCAAGGGCCCCCCAGGTGGGGAGATGGGGCTAGGTGAGCCCGCGGGGGATGTGGGGTTCTCAGGCTCTGGGGCAGTGGACAGTGGTGGCGTGTGGACGCTGGGGCCGCAGATGGATGGCATTACCAGACAGTATTAGACAGAAGGACGCAGATCTAACCGTGTCTGGTAAGACACCCATCAGCAGGCTGTGCAGATGGAGGCTGGTGGTAGCCACAAGCCCACCCTTTCCCTGAGCAAGGGGGGTCCCAGCTTGTCAGCACCACCGCCCAAAGCCTGACGTCTGGCTGAGGGTGGCTCCCGGCAAACTTTGGCCCCGTGCATCAGGCAGTAGGGGACAGTCTGACCTGAGCCCTTACTTCCTGGGCAGCTTGCTGCTGCTTCTTGAATGGCCCTTGGTGGTTAATGAGTAACTGCAGGCGCAGGCTCAATGACCCCTCCCGTGGGAGAGGCTGGGGACCGTGGGGCTGTGTGCAGACCTGGGGGCCGGGTCCTGGCTTCGGATCAAAGGCATGAAACAAGGGCGGCCTGGCTGGTGGTTTCACTCTGCTCTAGGCACGCTTGTCTGCCCACATCCCGTCCCCCGAGATGAGAGTGGCTACTGCCCAGGCACCAGGCCGGTCAGTGTCAGCCCTGTGCATGGGGCCAGCATCACCCCTGAGCTACCCACTGTGTCTCTCAGCCGGATTGAGGCTGCCTGGCCCTTCGCTGGCCGCAGGTGCCTGGCAATGTCCATCCCTGGAACCCGTCAGGAAGGTGGGGGCCCAGCCCAGAGGCCCCCTCTGAGAGGCCCTACTGTGGCTCAACCAGGCTATATTCTGAGCTGCCGTCTGTGAGTGCCGGGCTGAGGCTGAGGCATCTGTGGCCGAGTCCTGGTGAACTGCGGGCCGCCTTTGAACATCGTTACCAGACAGTGTTAGAGCTGAGCCGTAAGTCCAGCACTGTCCGGTAAGATGCCCACAGAGGCCCCGTGCCTTGCCTGAGGGGTCTCGTGAGCTGCAGGGCCAGGTGGATGCGCTTCTTCCTCCCGGGTGTGGCACAGCCCCTTCCTGGGTGCCAGGCGGGTCCGGAGGGCCTGAATGGGGCCGATCCCCACCGGCATCTGGGGGCCTGCGGCCGGGCGGCCTGGTGCGTGTGGAGCCCCGCTGTCATCATTACCAGGCAGTATTAGAGACCACACACCATCCAATGCTGCCCAGTAAGATGGCGCCGGCTGCCCCGAGTGGGTTTGGGGCCGCCCGCCTGCCTGGTCAGGGGTGTGACGTGGGTTGGTGGGGCTGCCCGGCAGCTCATGGCCCCGGCCTGAGGTACAGCTGCAGTACTGAGGTGTCCCAACATCCACCCAAGAAGCCCTCTGCAGCGGGGGCCCTGGGTCACCTTCCTGTCCAGTCCACCCAGCCCAGAGGGACAACCCTGTGGACATGGGGGCCCGTGGGGTGCAGCAGGTCAGGCGGAGGGGCTTCCACCGCAGGGGCCAGTGGAGGGAAGGCCAGCCGTCAGCCCAGCCCTCCTGGGGGCCCTCCAGCTCTGTCCTGGACCCGTCCTGCTCAGGGGAGGAAAGGGAGGGGAGCGGAGGTGGCCTGGCCTCAGGCAGGGCTTTGGGGGTCCCTGGAAGTCTTGCTAGGCCATATCCCTGGGGCCCCTGCCTGGCCCTGCAGGAGTTGGAGCCTCCAGTGAGCTCGTCAGCCCGGCCCTTCCACACTCGACAGTTTGTGGCCCCCGAATGCAGAACACTGTGGGGCCCCTTGGGGCAGCAGGCACCTGGAACCCCAAGGGTGGCAGCTCTGTGGTCCCGCCTGCCGAGGACTCACCCTGGGGCAGAACCTGGGTCTGCAGGTCACGCGGTGGGGGGCTGCAGGCGGGCCTGTCCCCCAGCTGCCCAGGGCAGGGCCCCCCAACCCCACCCCTCACTGCCCTGCTTCGTCCTCGGGACAGCACACGTTTTTCAGAGTTCCAACCCTCGTGGACGTGTGTGGGCTCAGGGTGGACCCCCCCTCCCGTGCCCGGTAGTCCCTGACGCTCAGGCTCACCTGCGAGCTCGTCAGCCTCGAGTGCCCCGGCCCTGCGGCCTCTTATTTCTGAGCACAGTCGGCCCGTCACCTGCTGAGTTCAGGTTTGGGCCGGGGAGGTGGTGGGGCTGGTGAGAGGAGGTGGCAGCCCCCACGTGCCATTCCCGCCCTGATGTCCCCAGTGCCCTTGAGTGAGCCCCGAGGGTAGGGACCCCACAGACCGGTCTGTGGCCAGGAGTCACCTGCCACCTTCAAGGTCTCACCTGGAAGGTGGTGATCTCTGGGACAGATGGACGATGGAGTCTGAGGGCGGGTGAGCAGGAGAAAGGCCCCTCCAAGTTCCGGGACAGAGTCCCACACGTTTCCTGCAGTCAGAACCTGAACACGCAGGACTGACCGGAGAGTCCGGGCCGAGGCGGGGGTCGAGGCCTGGGCGCCTGCCAAGCTCCGGCAGAGGAAGGCGTGTCTGCCCTGCTGAAACGGGACAGAAACCAGCCTAGCCCGGCCCCGGCACCCAGGGTGTCTCTGCTCAGCCTCTGCATTCCCTCCAGCCTGCTGGAGCTGGGGAGCCGTTGGGCCGGCCCAGCCCAGCAGCCTCCATGCGGCTCTGGAAGTGCACACCTCCCTGCAGGGACACCTGCCCGTGGGCGTTCCCACCTGCACGGCCCTGGGTGCGGTGGGGTGGGGAAGGAGCCCGGTGAGAAAAGCTAAGTCGCAGGTTAACCTGCCCAACGGGCCTTAATCAATGGTGAGGGCCGTGCAGAGAACAAAGCGTGAAACCCAACCCTGCTCCGCACTGGATCAGCGGCCGCCACTGGGCAAGGGCGGGTGGGGCAGCGAGGAGCCGTGGGCGGGCGGCGGGCAGGCGGGCATTTCTGTAGCTTCGGGAGCTGCCGCCATTTCTCGGGCTCCACAGGCTCCGGAGCGATGGGACTCGCCTCAGGCCTCCCCTGCAGGTCGTCCAGAACGCTCACAGACCGGCTCTGCAGACCACGGAAGAGCGCCACGTCTCATGCTTGCTTTGCATTTTCATAAACGCAAGCCCATTTGCTTAATTCAGCAAGTCACTGATGGCTCCGACTTCAAGCATCGGCCCAGGTCACTAGAACAGCAAAACACAACGACCTATTTTTCCAGATGCCACTTAAAAGGGCCTGAAACGCTCCCAGTGGATTAATTAAAACGCCGTGTTCTTATGCCCTGAGGTTTTGTTCGAGAACAATGAGCTCTGTACTGCACCTCAAAACATCAGCTTCCCTTCCCTTCTCTCCCATCTCAGCTCCCCGAAACTAAACTTTCCTCTCTGAGGAAGCAGGATAGACCAAGTGCTCAGCCTCCTAGCGCACGTGTGTGGCCGCAGCTGCACTGCCGTGTTTACACAAAGGGTCTTCGGGGTTGGGAGCAGTCTGAGCCCCTAAACTCTGTGGTCCCTCGAGCACCCGGGTGCTGACCCTCCAGGACCCTAACCTCGGCCTGGCCAGCGGGCATCGCCGGGACCCCCGCCCCCCCACCCCAAAGCGTCAGAATAGACTTTGGATCTAACCAGTCCTGCACTGGGCGGGAGGCGGCTCTGGTGCTCCACAGGCTGAGACTGGCAGGAGCCCACAGCCCCCGGCCAGGGGATCTCCCGCGTCCAGCTGAGAGGGAGCCAGGGCACCATGGCCATTGTGGGAGAGCACATTCCAGAAGGTTCTGTGTCTCGGCAGGAAGCAGGAGCTCACCTAGCTGGGGCTCCTGAGCTCTGCAGGGCGAGGGGTTGCCTGTGAACCCCCCCCCAACACGAGGTCTGGCCGCCAATTTGGCTCTGTGGCCCCGCACCTGCCCAGGCCTACTCTCTCCGCTGAAGCCCCCCGGCTTCCGTTGTCCCCCCAGCTTCCGCTGTCCCCACAGCCTGCAGGGTGGGTGCGGGAGGCCCACGGAGGGAGCGGCCCTGCTCCCGCCTTACCTGCCCAGACAGGATCCGACAGCGGGCGGGCTCCCTGCCCAGCGTGCAGGGACGCAGACCCGGGCTCCTGAGAGCTCTGCGGCCCCGTTGGTGAGGGGCCTGCAGGGCGGGCGGGTGGCGGCGTGGGGTGGCTGCGGGAGAGGAACAATGCCGCTCCTCTGGCAGGAAGAGCAGGGCAGGGAAGAGAGGCCGCCAGGGCCTCCTTACAAGCAGCCCCACCCCGCCCCACGCAGGTGCCTGCTCCCGGACCAATCTGGGCTCCAGCCCTCCGACAGGTGTGTCCCCGGGCTCCCATAGGCCAGCAGGGAGCCAGCCAGGTGACGCAGGCCCCACACATTCCTGCCCCCCTGCCCGCCAGCCTGGTGGAACAAAAGCAGGCCCAGCCTCTGCAGGGCCAGAGCCTGCGAGTGGCCTGAGGGGCAGCTCTCGCACCCCAGTGCCCCTGCCCCGTGGGCTGCGGCCTCCAAGCCAGGCAGGAGCCCAGTGGGTGGCCGAGGCAGCCAAGTGCACCCACAGATCCTGCCCCTGGGGCAGCAGCCCTGAGCCAGGCCACGCCAGGGTTCAGTAGCAGGAGGGTCCCATGTGTCCATCAGGGAGAGCCCCTCTGCCTGAGGGGCTACAGTGGCCTGTGAGAGCACCCACTTCTGCTCAGAGGCACCGGACAAGGGCTTGGGGTCTGGAGGTCTGAGGGTCCCGTGTGGGGCGGGGAGGGCAAGGCTGTGGCCCCTTGACGGCTCTGCTCCCAGCAGAAGGGCGTCTCGCGCCAGCAGTGGGGTCGTAACGTGCACGGAGAGCACAGTCTTTCCAGAAACATCTCTGCAGGGAGCTCTGGGCAGCCACACAGCGGGGCTGCGGGGTCTGGCGAAGTCCAGGGCCTCACATCCAGAAATAGCTGTGAACACGGTCTGGGCTGACCCAGAAGCCACCCAGGCCTATGCACCCCCAGTCAGGTCTGCTCCCGCTCAGTTTGACCTGGCCTGGCCTTAAGGGACCATGCGGGGTTGGGGACCCTCTCGAGGCCAGAGTGAGGGGGGTAATGTGTCTGCAAGAGGCAGGGGCAACCTCTCTGCCTATTCTGATGGCCAGAGGCTGTGAGTGGGGGCGGGCCTGCTCCACCTCCCAGCAGAGCCGGCAGCCTTTGTAGTGGGGGGGATCCGCCCCCCCTCACACCCTCCTCGGCCCACTCCAGTCTCACATGCCCCTTAGCCTCTCCTCTCAGATGCTGTGGGGACTTAGTTCGGACATTCAGGGTGAATGCAGGGGCTGCAGAAAGCAGTGCTGCTGCACCTGGGTGCCACGGTGGGCTCGCTAGCAAGGCTCTGCGGCAGTTGAGGCATCACAGCCAGCAGCCCGTGCACCCTAGCGGGCAGCCAGACCACACAGGCCTCCTGAGGGTCCATGCCCACACGCCCGCCCTGAGGTTGCGCAGGGTCACGGGCTGTCCGAGGGAGCAGAGTCTGGAGCCGGGGTCCAGGAAGGTGAGATCACGGCGGTACTACAGGGGCCACACACTGGTGTCTGGGCAGGGACATGTCCCCGTCCGTGGCCCTGGGGTCAGGGGCATGGGGACAGGGATGTGGAATAAAGGGGTGTGGGGTGCAAGGGAGTGGGATACAGGGATTGGGGTACAGGGGCATGAGTGTAGGGGTGTGGGATACGGGGTGGGGTGCGGGGGAGGGTGTAGGGGGTTGAGTCAGGGGGCATGGGAAAGTGTCAACACTTGAGGTGGGTGAGAAAATGTCCCCACACTGAGGCTAGACATGTCAGGCTGGGGGCAGTACAGGCCTGGGGGTCCTGCGCTCAGTCCCCCGGGCCCAGCTGAGCTGAGCCTCCCTGGGCGGGGCTGCAGGACAAAGGTTCGCAGTGCTGACCCAGCTACTTCCTGCCTGAGTTGGAGCCAGCCTGTGCGGGTCCTTCCCAGGACCAGAGCAGGTTTGGACCCAGGCTGCATCCTCCCCGGGTCTCCCTGCCCGACCCCGGGAACAGGTGATGGGTGCCAGTCCCCTGATGGCTGTCTTGGGGTCCTGTCTCAGGGGTGGGGCAGGGGGCTCCCGTGGAAGGTGGGAAAGGCTGCAGGGCCGGGCTTCTGCCCCAGTCTCTGCCTTTGGGCCCCTCCCCGCTGGACCTCTCCTCGTCCCCCTCAGCCCGCGGGAGGGCTGCAGCTGCCCTGTTTGATTTCTGCCCTCGCCTGGGGCCAGGAACTGCCACCCGCCCCTTCAGTCTGCCGACTGATGGGATGCTGGGCGTGGGCACGTGGTCGATGCTGCGGAGTAGGGGGCTCTAGCTCCTCTAACTTCCACTCAGCCCAGCCCTCTTCTGCCACTTCACCTGCAGACCCCCACCTTGTCACCTGCAGGCCCCGACCTTGTCACCTGCAGACTCCGACCTTGTTACCTGCAGACCCCGGCCTCGTCACCTTAAGACCCTGACCTTGTCATCTATAGATTCTGACCTTGTCATCTGCAGACTTCGACCTTGTCACCTGCAGACTCTGATGTTGTCACCTATAGATTCTTACCTTGTCACTTGTAGACTCTGACCTTGTCATCTTCAGACCCCGAACTTGTCACCTGCAGGCTCCGACCTTGTCACCTGCAGACTCCAACCTTTTCACCTGTATACCCTGAACTTGTTACCTGCAGACTCTGACCTTGTCACTTGTAGACTCTGACAGTTTTACCTGCAGACTTCGAACTTGTCACCTGCAATCTCTGGCCTTATAACCTGCAGATTTTGATGTTGTCACCTGTAGACTGACCTTGTCACCTGCAGACCCCTACCTTGTCAACTGTAGACCCTGTTCTTGTCACCTGCAAGCCCCGACCTTATAACCTGTAGATCCTGACCTTGTCACTTGAAGACTGACCTGTCACCCGAAGACCCTGACCTTGTCACCTGCAGACTCCGACCTTGTCACCTGAAGACTCTGACCTTGTCACCTGCAGACCTTGACTTTGTCACCTGTAGACCCCAACCTTGTCACCTGCAGACCCCGACCTTGTCACCTGCAGGTCCCAGCCTTGCCACCCCCCAGGGTCATGTGGGGCCACCCACGAGTGCCCTATAGGAAAACAGGCAGGAGCTGACTTCCTTGTCCACCCCTGCCCCTCCTACATGGTGGTGACTCAGCCTGTGGGACACGGCTGAGACCTTGTGGGGTGTGTGTATGTGTGTGCTCACATGTGTGTGTATGGGGGTAGGGTGCAACCCCTACCCCTACCCCAGTAGCTGGTACTCCTGCTCTCTCTGCTCACTGGTGGGCTTCCCATGGCTCAGTGCCTTGCAGGAAGGAACAGCGAGAGGAGGGAGGCTGGACCCCAGGTTCCGCCGTCACCTGCAGCCAGGCCGCACTCCCGCTCCAGAGCTTCTCCACCAACCCTGAGGTTTGCAGATGCCAGGGGACCTCAGCCAGTCCAGAGGGCAGTCCAGTCTTCTCCCCACGTGCCAGTCCTGGTCAAGGCTCCAGGACAGCCGATCCCCCCCAAGTGCAGGATGGTCTTGGAGGTCCCACAGTTGACACACGCACAGCTCTGCCCACCTGTACCCCCAACCAACTACTCTGACTGACCCCAAAATTGGAAACCTCAGAGGCACCTCATAGCATTTCCTGTGGGTACAAGAAGGCCCACTCATCTCTCACCTCCGCTCACCCCATTCACCTCCACCTTCCACTCACATGTCCACTACCTCCTGCGCACCTCCACTCCCCTCCCACTCCCTCACTTTACACTCACCTCTTACACCTAACACTTCACTTCATACCACTCCACACCCCCTTACCTCATACACACCTCACCTCACCCTCCCCTCCCCTCACACCTCACCCTTCATCTCACACACCTCTCACACACACTCACCTCAAATGGCACCTCACACCTCACCTTACCTCACCCTCCCCTCTCCTCACACCTCACCTCACCCTCCCCTCGACTCATAACCTCATTCTCACCTCACACACCTCTCACACTCACCTCATAGGGCACCTCACACCTCACCTCACCCTCCCCTCGCCTCACATATCACCCCTCACCTCATGCACCTCTCACACTCATCTTCTCCTTGCCCTGGTTGTCCTTGTGGAGGGCGAATTTCAAGGCAGCATCTGTGTCTGTGTGGGAAGTCGGGGGTCTTTCTGTGGAGAGGGCAGCACCTCTACATTTTCTCTCAGACCACTGGGCCCCAGGGGTGCCTGGAAACTAGCCCACAGCCCAGAGTCTGTCCCTCTCTTCACCTGCCTTCCCACTGAAGAGGGAGCCTGAACTCAGAGTTTCACGTTTTCCTCTTTCTTCTGCTCCACCGCACACTGCCATACCCCTGCCTGCACCCAAACACAGACCCGCCCCACCCCTGTCCTGTGCAGGGTCCCAGGTCTGGGCTAACCAGTCTTTCCTTTCCAGTAAAAATGGGATTTCTTTTCAGATTCAAATGGAACTTTGTTTGATTTGCACTTCCTTGTGTTTCTTTCTTTTTCTTTTTGGGTCACACCCAAAGATGCTCAGGGATTACTCCTAGCTCTGCACTCAGAAATTACTCCTGGTGGTGCTCAGGGGACCATATGGGATGCTGGGAATCGAACCCGGGTCGGCCGCGTGCAAGGCAAATTCTCTACCCGCGGTGCTAACCTCCTTGTGTTTCTACAGGAGTCTCCTCGCTTGTACCACCTTGGTCCTGCCAGCTGGGCTGGGGCCCATCTTCTCAGCCCAACTACACCCACTCTTGGGCAGGAACCCCCATCTCTCCTGTCTCAGACCCACCAGCAGGTCTGCCACCACTGCCACCGGGGGCGGGTCTGCTTGGGACTGTCAGGGCCCTCACCAAGCCTGTGTGCTGCAGGAGCAGTCACCCCGCGGGCCAGCCACCTGGGCCACTGCCTGGGCACCTTTCTCACAGGCAGCAGATGCTCCCTGAACCCAGCTAGACGTGGGCCCAACAGGCCCATTTGCCTTCCAAAGCAGCAGCTGCACTGGAATTAGCATCTGATTTGAGTGGGAATCCTCAGATTCTGGGAACGCTCTCCTGAGGTGCTCTGTGTGTGGGAGGGGGCAGGCTTCCAAGGTGGGGAGCTGCCCCGGGTGCTGGCCCCCCAAGGCTGTACCCCTTGCTTCCGTGCCAGTGCTCAGGGCACAGGACGCTGAGGAGGGTCTAGTCTGCCCAGTTGGAAGGGACAGGTGCCAGGCGGGGGTGTTGGGGGGTCCCCACTAGTCCCAGGTCCCCCGTCCCCTCTGCCAACACCCTTCCAGGGCCTGGAGGCTTCTCAGCTCGGCCACTGCAGCCCGAGTGGGCCCCACCCGACTTCCTCCTGGGTACTGCCCTGACTCCTTCACGGCCCACAGCTCTGGGCAGAGACTAAGCAGAAATCCTGGGCACAGGAGATAGTCTGGGGCTGGAGCGACAGCACAGCAGGTAGGGCGTTTGCCTTGCACGCAGCTGACCTGGGTTCGATTCCCAGCATCCCATATGGTCCCCCGAGCACCACCAGGAGCAATTCCTGAGAGTAGAGCCAGGAGTAACCCCTGAGCATCGCCAGGTATGACCCAAAAAAACAAAACAAAACAAGAAATTAGAAGAGAGAGTCTGATGGGGTCAACTAGGGGGGCCAGAAGGGCTCAGTGAGGTCAGGTGGAGTCAGGAGGTCAGACAAGGTAGGAAGTAGTCAGATGGGGTCAGTGAGTTCAAGCAGGGTCAGAGAGGTCAATGGGGTCAGTGAGGTCAGGTGGGGGTCAGAGAAAAGGTCAGGCAGGGTTAATGAAGTAAGGTGGGGTCAATAGGTTAGGTGGGGTCAGAAGAAGGTTAGGGGGATCATTGAGGTCAGGTGGAGTCAGTAGAAGGTCAGGGGGCCATTGAAGTCAGGCGGGGTCAATGAGGTCAGGTGGGGTTCAGTGAGGTCAGGCGGGGGTCAGTGAGTTCAGGCAGGGGTGAGTGAGGTCAGGCGGGGTCAGTGAGGAGATTACTCAATCTTTTGCTCCATCCCTTCCCTGGGGTCTCTCGACACCCCCTTTGCTCCTGGTGTCCATGGCCATTTCTGCGTTCACCCAGGCCTGAGTTAACAGTGGAGTGAGCAGAGTAGGGCGCTGGAGTCCGGCCTCAGTGAGGGGAGGGCTGGGTGACCAAAAGGAACGGGAGCCTCAGGGACAACACCAGGTGCCCCTTGCTCTGCAGGGTGCTCTGGGGAGCGGCTGTCTGCAGGGGTGAGGGGAGGGCAGACCCGAGGGTGGACACCGAGGCAAGGAGGGCCAGGGCGGGTTCGAGAACATGCTCCTGCCTCATCGGGACAGCAGCTATAGGCGGCGCTGGAAAGCTGTGGGGAGGGGGGCAGGGTGGGGCTAAGTGGCCTGCGAGGGGGGCTCTGTGGATGGAGGCGGGGCTGGGGGCACCTCGGGCTGTGTCCTGGGTGCTCTCA